TGTCAAATTACTGCCAGAAATTGGGGAAAAGAGACTTGCTGAGTTGGAAGTTCCAATACAAACAAAACTTGTAGTAGTTGAACATGAGAATGGCAAGGATGTATGAACTGAAAAAAACTGTGAGAAAAATTCACACACTCATGTAAAAAGCCATAAATCCCATACCAATCTAGAGATGCCAATATTTACAAGTATATATGTGTAGAATATACAATTGTTTACTTGTATGTCCAAAAAAAATAGCTTACTTCCCTTAGAAAAAAGCTTTCTTTTCTATTCGCTCTTTCTCGTAATGACGTTACTTATTCAGAATAAAGGAAAAGCGGTTTCCTCGACTCGCATTGGATCAAACTAATATCGAATGTTGTTCCCAACTATTGCTTGCCAAGCCAAAAACATTTTCAAACTTTCTATGCTAGAGACCAGCTCAAATTAAAGATTATCGATGCGAATAAATGCTTTTAGCTTAGCAATGTGTGCTTAAGAATTCTTCACCCTGTGATGGAAATTTGTAAGTTAATTGTCTTCATCGATCGCACTCCTAATGAGTTTATACTCATAATAAAAGACCGCTTAGTAAAAACTGTCAGGCCCAATGTTAAATTATGTTATACACGTACTGGTCTGGCTATTAAGGCTCTCACGATTCCATATTCTGACAATATGCCGCTCTTACTATTCTTCACTGTTCCAATCATAAACTATTACCACCAATTTAAGACTATTTCACCAACCGCATCCCAGGCAAGTTGATGGGGGTCTTGTTTCTTCTAGCGTTGACAAAAAGGAAACAGAAAACTCACTGCCCTAGGGAATAACCTGATTCCAATAATCTATATTAACCCTTCATTTTACAAAAAACAACTTCTTTTATAAGCCTCGCTCGGAGTTGTTCGAATGAGTTTAGATTTCTTCTTGCAATTGAGTGACTATTTTTTCAAACAACGTCTTCTTGTCCATAGTTGTTACTATACCTGCATTGATGATTAAGGACAGAGTCACCAACTGTGGAAAATGATATACGGGAGTGATCCCACCCTGACCTAAGTTGACAACGATACCTTAACCCTGTAGTGTGCATTTGCTGGGATTCTCATTGCGCCAGTGACAACAAAACAATTTTGCCCCCTGTTCGTCTATACGGCTGGATCGGTTATCTCGCGATTTATAGACTCCTTTCACAGTCCTACGCATACAATTAAAAAGACTTGAACAGGCATAACGTATTATATTTTTCAGGTCGCTAATCTCGGTTATTCGTATCGTACAAAAACTCGCTATCGGTTGGTTGCTATCGATTTCGAGAGGTCTTTACGCAGAACTAGCTTGCCACCCTTAGCTGCGCAGTGTGCGAAATTACGCTTCAGAGGCTAATACATGATGTATTGAAATTCTCACCTATACTATTTAGATTACCTGCAGGCTCGTGTTTTACTAAGGAGGGGGAAATATAATACAATGCGCGTGTTCGTATGTTAAAGAACGAGGCCAGCTTACAATTGAAGGATCCTATAAAAATTGATACGCTCCCAGCAATTCTCAGCTATCGAGAGAGTGTATTTACTTGGAAGCGATGTTGTCAAGATTAGATATTTGTGTTTTGTAGCATGAGCATTCTCATTATAGGACTTAAGGCTAACGAGGATTGCTTTCAAAATGGTTTTATCGGTACCTTTGCACTGGCAAGGTTGAAGTGAACAATTAATAAATGAATTGTGCCTCTGTATCTTTATTTTTAGTAGAGTTTTCGTGTATTAGCCATCCGTGCAATTAGCCAGCGTTTCGCAATTAAGTAGATTTGATTTGGAAATGTACTTCTACTGATGTGTACTGTAAAACTCTCCCGCCCTCGTGCCAAGGCTCCTAAGTAATATTGCACTTCATAGTGAAAAGTATTTTATTCCAGTGTATGATACTTTAGCGTACAGTTTATAAAACAATTATCAGTGAAACAAAATGATCTCTGCAGAAATCATTATGCACTAAAATGATTGTATTACAGATTTTGGATCGTGTTAGTTTCTTTTAGGCTGCCTGGGTGGAATAGGGGATAACTCCGAAAGTCGCTCTAGATCTATTCTTAGTGCGTGTGACTTGTGAATGTGCTCTTGTTTATGTTTGTGCTACTCAAGATGAAGATAGGGTCGTATATAACATCACCAAAGTTTTCTAAAAACTAATTTGACGATAGTTTGGTTTTTACATTGTGGATTGTTGATGTTGAGCTAAAGAGGTGTATCTGTTATTACTAAATAGCAGAGTGTATAGCAAATTTCTCTTATTAGTTAGTTATATCCTTATGTGTCGCGATATATTCTCGCCGAGCAGAACCCTATTAATAACATGCCTGACTTTCGTAGACAATGCTTAGCCCGAGTTGAGGCAAAAATAAGCAATATTATACATTGTCGGACTCCGATGGTGATCTAATGATTGCGCTTGGTTATAAGGCAATTTATTTACGAAAGACAATCCACAGTCGTCTTTCTAATGAACAACCCAGGATCCGACTAAGCGAACTATCTATCTATTGGATACGAGTAGACAAAGGTTTAATCTGACTTCCAACTTCTGATATATTAGAAAAGTCAAATCTTAAGAAAGTTCACTCTAAGTCTCTAGTAACCCAACATTATACATTGAGCAATCCTATAAATATGTCTACGGTGACCAATACGACAGAGTACCCGAGGCAGTCGGCGTGGACGGGGGGTGGCTAATGATAAGATGAAGTGATTACCAGGGAAAGCCGGCTAGCCGTGCGTACAATCCCGGCGGTTCCTGGACCTAAAAAATGCTAGCGAAGAGGAAGGACCACGTGATTCAGGCATAAATTGGCAGATATTGTTTTGTTTATTATGTATTAGATTTGTTCGCTCGTCTTTCTAGTTTGCACGTGCATACTGTGTATTTTTCCTAAGGGCCCATCCGAAGGTATTAGTTTTTAGGACGAGTCATGTCTGACGTATGCTATGACTTGGACTTTATCGTTTTGAGCATTGTCCTGGTTCCTTCCTCTCCGATTGACCACATCTCGTGATTCCCTTAGTCAACAGCTTGGTAATTTTTTGGCAGGGAGCTGTGATGAATTGTGTGTTCCGAATCCTTAGCGTCTGCCCCTCCACTCGTGGTGTTGAAATAGTATTATTGTTTGTGATTTGTTAGCGGCACTCGTATCTATCCCTGGCTACGTTTGCAACTTTTAAGGCGTTTCTTGTAGTGCGCAGCCTGTCCTCAAGACATTAGTTGTAAGTCTCAATCACGCACAAACCTATAATATTTCGTGGCTAACTGCCAGTGAGCTAAAGGCAAACATCGTTATCGACCAAGCAGCTATTCTTTACACACCTCCGTGAAAAGACCAACAACCCCAGCAGACAACGCGCACACCAAGCTGATATATTGATATTCATTTTGTATATAATAAGTCAAATTCGCATAATGACGATTTCAGTGTTAACCAAGATACACATAAGCTCAGTCCATCGAGAACATGCTCGTTCCCAATATTACTACAATAGAGGGATATAACCACAACAGCAATTAGGATCCTATTCGAAACCATATATCTATCGTGCTACTCATTTCTCTGGTGACAAGCGCAAAGGTCTGAGGCCCATAACCAATCTCTTGGAAATGAGTGTACTTTCTAACAATAGGTCATCGAGCCTAACTCCCCCTGAGCGTCCCCTCCATGGCATCCTCAAAAAATTGGTTATATCATGCAATAAGTCGTTTTTCATTGAAATGAATTGATTGTTTCTCGAAATCTTAACTTCTTTTGTTACCCAGTGCAATTAATCCTTGCGAATCCACACAGTATACCGAGCGTGGTGTTGAGAGTGCGTTATATATTATTAATGAGCACGATCTGATGGTAATATGAAATGAAGGACAGCTTCCCAATATCTAGCCGTCACCTTTTCCCTGGTTAAAGCAATTCTTGAGCGAAGGAGTTAGCTGCCGTCGGCCAGAAAAGCTTGGATTATTTTCTGTGTTATAACTCTATCAACTTAATCTTTAGAATGATAAGGGAACGCTCAGTCATATCGAAAACGTATTAACTCTACTACTCGGTAATTGTTGATTATATAAGAGAGGGATTCTCGCAAGAGGCGCCTTACGTCAAGTACAAAATATAACGGAAATTAACGGATATTAAAATATCAGTTGTTCAGTATACACGAGATATCAATGTATGCTCACACTAATCTACTAAAACGTACATCCAGCTTCCAAAGCAGCAACAACGCGAAGAGTTGTATTAGAGCGTCATAGGTCTTATGCTGGAACGTGGCAACGACATCGCTAGATTAATAACAATTAACCATACGTTTTTTAAACAACCACTTGCGTGCTGAGATTGCAGAGTAACTGGTGACTGTTTGTGTCTCTATATTGAGACTAAACCAGTTTCCAATGGTTTAAATGACTAATTCTATGCAATCGCCTGGCAGTCTTATACCATATGAAAGCAATACCGATATATAAGAGATAATATAGCGACGAAACACCAGCCCATCAACAAGCCTACGTAAAGCGTAACCCACAGAACTAATATAAATATTGCATTAGTCATATAATGATGAAGATGTTGAAAACCGAAGGTTTCAATATTCTTTGACTGTCGTACGATCAATGATACTTCTATCTTACATGCTCTTAGATTAAGAACAATTTGTAGAGCAATGAAATAGAATCAGACTTGCGGAGCATTTATGTTTTCTAAAACTAAGGCCCTTTAGCCTAAAACGCAGTTTTCGAGATTCTACGAATTTTGTCGATAAATCAGCTCTATAATGTCATAGAAAATTAAGCTTACAAAAACTGAATTACTTTAACTAAAATGTCCTTTGTTAAAATTGCTTAATTCCATTTCGATAGGACTGGCGGCTAAGAATTTGTTTGGTCAGAGCAATCGACTGCAAACAAGCTGGAAAATTTAGGATGCATCCCGATAAACTACTACACATACAACTCGTAAAAGCGAGCCAAGCAGAAAACAACCAAAACACAACGATGATTGGATAAAGGTTGCTGATATGGAGGTTAGCCAACGCATGCTACTATCTTAGAAAAATACATCTTTATAATCAACACTGAATAGAATTAACGTTGACCCAAGACACCACAAGATATGATGTAAATGCAAATCTGAGGCAAGATATTCTCTAATTTTTACGAACAATTCTCCGTAGGTTTGTGCGCTTCTCTGCTGCGAGATTGAGCAATGTGACACTGCGTGGGTGGATAACAACGTCTGCTACTCAGTCTCTTGTAAAAACCACGCTTGTGAAACGGAAAAGGCCACAGGGAAACATGCAAATTCAGCTGTTGTGCAGTTCAAAAGGAAGTACCAGAATTCAACGCCAAACAAAGGTACACTGTTGTTTTCCGCAAAACCAATATATATATCTTATCCCAGTGTTGGAAGCCCACGTAAAAGGCCACAGGCATTATGGCTATCGGCAGTATATCATCTTTCTACACATTCAAGTGCTTGCGATAACAGTTGCGTACACAAGGCATGGGCGGCGCTAGAAGGAGGGCTAGGGGCTTCAGCCCCACCCCACTATTTTGCAAAAAATGTTCTCAAGAAAGTAAAAAGAGTGACAAAATAGGAGAAAAACTATTGCGATAAATCCTGTTGTTGATTAATTTCCAATAAATAATAGATCTATGGGACCTTTATAAAGTAGTGAATTTCATTTTAAGATTGGAAATAATCAAACGTACTAAAAGCATGCCTTAAAGCATAGCATAATATTATAAACGATTGCAAGAAAATGACAGTGAGAAATATTCTGAAATGTATTTTAAACTTATCTTAAGAGCGTGGGGGCAAAACTTTTCTGCTCGCTTTGCTCGCAGGGAAGCCTATACCGTCAGAAATACCTAGGGCCTCCGAAACCTTTTCGCCGGCCCTTCCAATGTACCGCTAGCATAACTATTTCCCCATAAAATATCTTGAAGCATTTAAGCCTGGTTCCCATAAAAGTTGAACTCAGATCAACTCTCCCGACCATTGCAATTCACAGTCGGCGCAGTCGTAACGATCGGAAGTGTTCCATAAAATCGGAAGGCCAACGCAGACTGACGCAGACTGTCGCCGACACTCTTACGATTTTAAAGGAACCAGGCTTTAAGTGCAGTTTTAAAAAATGGTTCTTTAGTCTAATAAAGCTATCAACTCGAGCCCTACCCAACTTTGAATTTTTTGGCGCAGCCTCTACAATGGGGAATGGGGGGTCCGGAACCCCCCACTTTTCTAAAATTTGTCCAAAAATGGTGCAAAACTCATAGGGGGGGGAAAGGGTGGGGTAGTATACTGTATGCTTGTGTCAACAATAATTTTAAAATACTTTGCTATTTACCGTAGCTAATATGGATCAAATAAACGGGAAAAACTTTTTTGACCACGCCCCCACTGCTGCAGCCCTGGGTACGCTACTATGCGATAAGACGACACTCCCTCTATGACCACTTTGCCTTTTATCTTTTTCCACATCGTTTATCTTTCTATATGATCCAGGCCTTTACTTTAGCATTCCGCCTCCTCTCTAGCTTGAGATCCAGTAACACAAGTGCTCCATTATAAAACTGAACTGTATATCTATGTGAGGAAACGTAGCAAGAGTCACACCAGCTTAAGAACAAAACGACTGCTTCTTTTCTGTTTAATATTCGGACTGTAATTATCACCAAGTAACTCATTCCTATTCACGTACTTAAAATACCTGTAACACAAAAAGGTATCCGCTTTTAGGAGTGCAGGACCACTTGCTTTGGTTACCACAGAAAACCCCCTTTTAGTTAAGATTTCATAAATAGTATGTTAGGAACTCAAAAGACATTTTTTTAATCTATCTAGAGACAGCAAAGGTGGCAGTAACTGGTGTAAAATACGATGAAAATAAATCAACAATTGTAACTAAACAAGCAGTAACAAGCATAAACGGAAAACCGGAAAAAAGCAGTTCGGCAGTTGGGGCGACAGATATGGAACAGGCAGAAAAAAAACAAGAGGCACTCGTGACCATTAGCAGCCAAAGTCCCATGGAACAACTTCTTCAAAGTGAAGCGAGCATTATTCATAACAAAGCAACTGTGGAGGAGACGGCCTCGAAGAAAACCACCCAGGAAGAGGCCACAAAAAAGAAAAGTGATGTAGACATCAGTACCAACATCCAGTCATTGAGTGAACATCTGAAGAAAGCAGACGAAAAGGCAGACATAACTGCAGCACTGGAAGAAAACGACAAACGAACAATACATCCAAAGGTACACCACAATTAAGCGTCTTAACAACCATAGATATGAAAATAATACACTCCCAAAGAAAAGGAGAAAAAGGACAAAGAGAATTGGGAAAAGAGGGCGAGCTGTCTACGGAATTTTTCAGAAAATTAAAAGCGATCAAGATATTTTTAGAATCTTGCTAAGATAATGAAAGTTTTGGAACACAAAGAAGATTTTACGTGAGGTAAAAAAGGCCTGTTTAGAAGTAGTATAAGCTTACAGGAAAATAAAGATGTCACAAAATAGCTTTCTACAAGGTTTTCTATTTCTATTAATTTTCTTCATAAGAAATATTCAAATTTCTCTTTCCCACTCTCATTTGGTGATAGGTAAAAAGGCCTCCAGAACAAGACAGAGCAAGTTTAGGCATGAAAATCTGTCATGCATCAAACTTAATACTTACTACAATTTTCTTTCTATTTCAGCTTCGGTATCACAAACATCACGACCTACGTCACAACCTCATATCCCCAATTATCATTGGAGCCTTCACGTGCATGGCTGTAATAGCACTAAGTGGATTCGCAATGGCGATAATAAAGTACCAGAAAGAAAGAAAAGAGAAACACAGTTCACAGAGCACGCAAACATTTGACTCAAGTTAGGGATGCAAAATGGCTTAACTAGGAACTAGTAATAACATTTAGAGCATTGCGTTTTGACGGCTGAAACGCTTAAAACCAGGCAAAGAAGCAGAGAAAACAAAAAGAATGGTATAGCAAGGGTAACAGTACGGTAGAGGGGTGTAGTAAAAGGGGGTTCCAATAGCAACGATGACCAACAATGATTCTGTAACAAAAATAATCTAATCCTTGCATTTACAATAATATGCAAAAGCTTTTTAGAAAAGTCTTGCATTGAAGCTTTATGCCAAGATGCTTTAAGCCTTGAGTAAACTCGACCAAACAGTTTCCTATTCATGACGTCAACTTTTTATTTGTTCTTCAGAAAGGTACCACTCATCAACTCTTAATCTTACATGAAAAGCACATTTCTGAATGAGAAAACTTTTCAGAATTTAAGAATTAGGAATGCTCATTTTGTTAGAATTAGGAAGCCAACTTAAATAACAGCAGAACCTGTGAAGCAGGTACAATAATAGGATAATAAAAACTAATATAGTATAGATATTATTATGTAAATACAATTACTTGATAATAACCAATTTACAGTGTCTGATAATTGACAAGCTCTTTTGTAACACAAAACGTTTTAATCCAATGCTAATTTGCACGAAATCCTGGATAAATGATGTCGCATGTAGAAATGTGAAGATTTCTTCACTTAAAAAACATTTATATCTAGGAATTGCAATCTACGTTTACGAAACGCTTTCATTGTCAAATTCAGTGTTTTCTTGTTTCTTTAGGTATCACTTGAAAAGGGTTTAATTACGGGCTTCGCTCGGGTTATTTCAAAGTCAAAATCCATTTGGTAAAAAACGCATTGTTTTCAAAAGCTACCATTTTATAATCTGCGATAAAAAGGAACTTAATGGAAAAATACTTCTTAAACATAAAACAAAGTCACATCTTTTGACATCAGGTAAAAGTATCTTGTTCAAAGATTGTCCAAACTTTGAATCATAAAAACTGGACAAGAAATTAAAGCATTTCATCCATTAAATCTCTTTGTATTATTTATAAACAAGAAGTGCTTCTGGTGTAACACCGGCAGAAAAAATGTTTGATTGTTAGATGATTGGGTATGGCGAATTTTTCAAAATAAATAGAGAATCAAAGAAGTAAGTAGAGGCTCGTGTTTAGCTCCTCTTTTGTTTGCACATTTGATGCTCAAAAGAGTCCGATCCCCGCTGCTATTCAGCAGTGTTCTCTGGTAGGCATCTGCGATTATAACATCGATTAGCAAAAGAAGAAACAATCATTTGCTTACTGGTCATTCCTGAATCAATTTATCAAAAAAGTATTCCAAAGTGTGCATTTCTTCAAACGATTGTCTTCCGAAAAACAGAATGATACAGTCGAAATCCGGTATGTCAGTCAAAATTTGACACAAGAAAATGCTCACTTTGCTTCAAATTTCGGTAATTACCTGAGATCTATCTTCAGAATTGGACTTGATACTAGCTAAACACTTATCGTTTTGAAAACATTGAAACCATTTCCAGCTGTACTCAAAACAACTCCAGGAAGTTGGGGATGCCAGTGGACCTCTTTGATGTCATTTTGGCCCTGTAAAGAGAGGTTGAGCGAAACTACAGTATGATAACCAGCAACTGAAAGTAAGATCATAAGCACATATTGGTACGAGGGGTATATGACATCACTTTTTCCACAAAGCGTATTGGATCGTCGGTTTACGGGATTTTTAGAACAATACGACTTTTAAGGATTTTTCACGAAAAAAGATGATTTTATCGAAGGCGTAATAGATGTTTATGCCTCGATATGCCCCACGTGTTGGCAATCGAAATCAACAGGAAGGAGGTAAACCGCTCGATGCGCACATAGATATTTTTAGCATCTACTGCTTTGAAGCATTGCTAGTCCTGTACGAAAATGATCTGGTTGAGAAACGTAAAGATATAAGTGGCTGTAGCACGCTTCCGCAGAAAATTATAATTATCCACGCACAAAAAGAAGATAATTTGGCGCCACTATAACATTGTCAACTCCTTTCTTTACCGCAAGAACTTATTTAAATATGTTTCCTCCGTGACTGGCAAATTCAAACTTGAAAGCCTCGCCTTAATAGAGGGTCTTCCTCTGCCTTTTTAGAATCCGACATAAGTTATTGTGGGTGAGCACGACAAAAAGGCCTAATTTTCATATCATCGAAACTGAAACCAAGACGTTTGACAACAATACAAAATTCACAGCAATTCGCTGAGGGAGAGTACGCTATCACATTCTTCATTCTGATTGGTTATTTGTGCATTAAACCAAAGCTGTATGAATATCGTGGTCATGAAAAAATATTCTGAGAACAATGGCGGACAGACTATCTTCAACAAAAATGAGAAATTAAACCCAAAGCCAATAAAAGAGATAGAAATTAGCAAAACTAGCATCAAGATTATCGGTATGGTATCGAATAGCAATAAAGATGGGCAGTATACCTCCTTGCCATTTCATGCTTTAACAATGTATCTAAAACCAAGCTAAAACATACCATGTGGATGAACAAAAGCTGTGGAGGCAAATCTTTCAATTTGCCTTGAGCTTGATCACCATCATCACGCTCCACCGCAAGGTCCCAAAGAGTAAGTTGATCATCTGACCCAGAAGCAGCAAAAACGGAACTATCACGTGAATTCCATTCAACAGATGTGATTGGTGCTTTGTGGTGTTTGAAAGTTGCAACTGGCACATCGCTACGATATTTATTACATTGTTAAATTAAAACATACCCAGGTGTACGCTGAAAATTTATATTTACCTTTCAACTGCTACAAAAATAATATGGATTACAGGATAAAAAATATCAAATCTTGCATGCAAAGAAATACTAGGGCGGAAGAGTGAATTACTATACTGAAACAAATAGATATAAGTGGTTGAAAACTGAACTAGGAATAAAAACTTTATTACAGTAAAAATCCAAAAGCATCGTACTATAAGACGGTTCATAGAAAAACCCTGAAGAGAAACTCGAGGCATTGTGCGCGAGAGACACAAAAGTGTCAAGATCAGTAAAATACATTGGTAGACGACAGGAAGATGATAAATAACAGTTATCAGTTGATAACATAAGCAAAAATGAGCGCAGCTACGGCTGCAAATAGGAACAAAATGGTGTACAACAAAATGGTGTACAGAAAAATTAAGACATACACCAATAAACATTACAATAAATTAAAAGTACTTGTGCCCCACTCTTAGAAAATTGATCTAACATACTTTTGAATCTGTCGCAAGTCCCATACTTTAACTGCACCATCGTCTCCACCAGAAACAATCAGCGGCTCATTTCTGCAAGGCAAAGGCAAAAGGTTACCACTAGATCATTAAAGAACATTCCTCCGTTGACATGCTGCTCAGGAATTTCCTGACGCAACATGTCATGGTATCCGCGGACTTTTGAGGTAAGAAAGGCTTTGGAAAAATCAATCACGCAGATTGACTAACTTGAGGACATAGATTTTCTAAAACTTCGATTGATGAAGAGCATCTACTTACTGGTTCCAGGAGATTACATTGACGTCATCATCATGTGCTTTACACGTGATCATACATGCTTTGCTTCCAACTGCACGAGCATCCCAGACTCGTATCGTTTTGTCTGCAGAACAAGAACTAAATACCTAAAAAGAAGTGGTGTTAACTTGAAACTAAGAGTGAACATAAGTTTCGAAAGATTAGGGGAAATGTATTTCAAGGCAATGAACAAATTAAAAATATAGTTCTATATAGATCCTATGTGTAAATTGAAATAGGAGATAATAGAAAATAGGAAAAAAATGGAAAAAATAGCACTGGTTACATTGCTTTCGTTTGGACTCCACTGAATATCCTCCACAGAGGCTTCGTGTGCATTGTATGGGCGCTGGTCGACATGAAAATTTCCGTCGTCTCTGAGTTGCCACAAATGGATATTCCGATTGCAGGAGCCGGTTGCCAGGCTAAAACACAGAACAGAATCCGCCGCTAGTTGGAAACGAAGCAATTTATAGAAACTGCATGCAAAAAGGGTTCGTAATGAGTGATAGACTTTGTATTCGGTTTCTCTCAGAATTCAGCACAAGAAGATGCAAGAAGAGCCAAGTGAAATTGGAAAGAATATGAATAGGCCTAAATACTCTCTAACTTTCATCAATGAGCAAAATAAGGGTACTGAGAACAGAAAACTTCCAGTCAACAATTTCTTTTAATCGTTGTGAATTGGATTTTCTCTTTAAATCTGTACAGGAAAATTCTGTGTGTGCAGAGAGGAGGCACAAGTTTTCGATGCCATAGAAAATCTGGTGCATTTTATATTTGGTTTATCAAAATAAACTTACCGGGATGGGTTTACCTTTGACCAATCAATCGCAAATCCTTCAGCTTGATGACCATTGAAAGTGAACATTGGCTTGACTTTGTCTCCAAAATATTGATTCTTTGGCGCTCCGGGTTTATCTAATGCATTCATCTGCTCTGCGACATCCCAGATATGAACCTTGCCTGTGTCTGACCAGGAAGCAACCAGATGTCTGTTTGGTATATGTGAGTGCTAAAACAGCAAGCGTACATAGATAATTACGTTGACTGACAAATCTAGGCTACAGAAGTAACATAAGCCACGGTAGGCATATTCGCTTGTACGTTTCAAAGCTTGCTTGTACAACGCCTATGACACTTATGGGCATAAAAGCCGCGTAAAAAGCCAAAGTTATTACTACGTTCCCCGCAGGGAAGTATAGGACAAGCATTCAAACTAAAAGCTAATAAAAAAGAAGTGCAGCTGGGAAATCTTTACATATCAATAACATCATTATTTACAAAATAACCCACAAGTAACAGCCAATAGCAGACATCACCAAAGTTTTTACAATTCTGTCAATCAAATCTGTCAAAAAGTAATAAAAGAGGGCATATCCAGAAACCAACACCGTAAAAGCTCTATTAACCCCCCCTCTCTATTAAGACCCCCCTCTATTAAATCCCCCTTATCAATAAAAAACTTTAAACAAGCCCCCCTCTCTTTTAAGCCCCCTTCTTTAGCCTTTGATGTCAATCATAGAAAACATGCGCATTTAGTAGGTCTCTTGACGGGTGTGATGACGATACGATCGTGTGCATTAAACACGGCCTATGTAAAGAGTTACTTGTGCGACTTAGTAGTCAGTGGAAATTTGTTTGAAGATATCCAAGGGTTATCCTAGTAATGTTTATGAAGATGAGGACCTTATATTTGGTTAATTGAACTTTCAAAGCTGCTAACAAAGTTTTTTGAGAACATTTGTATGACATTTTCACAACAAAAAAGCCAAGGGCATTTTCAAAACATGCTTGCTTTGAATTTTCAATAAGCCCCTTCTTTCTAATACGCCTCCTCTCTCTAATGAGCCCCCTTCTCTTCTAAGTCTCCATCTTGTACTGAAAAAAATAATTAAGCCCCCTGGGGGCTTAATAGAGCTTATACGGTAAAGAGCATTTGGAAAACTCCGATAAAAAGCTCAGTGTTTCTAACAAACATAATATGTGATTTATATCATCACCTAAATTCCATTTTCCGCTATCTAGGCATATCCTTTAGCTGAGAAATAGCAAAAAGGTGATCACCTATATTAAATTTGGCACACCATGTGCAATTTTAAGCTCTGTTGGCGCACAAGGTGATAAGCTACTTCAAGAGGTCAAATCTTTGTTATTACCCTGCTTAATGGTGATACTCTAATAAGCCGTAGCAATCTACACCGTAAATGAAGAGATCATACCCTTATTCTGTTACAGGCACCAATTTGCCTTATAGAAGCTGTTCGCATTGCTGGCCCATCAGCTTCATCTTCGATTATTTCGTCATCTGAATCACCTTCAAAGATACAAGACAACAAATGAATCACGATAAGCGCAGCAATTTGTCAATAACTGCATAAAAAATGTAAAGCCCTGGCCAAACGAGCCAACATTTTGCCCAACATTTTACCCAACATCTTTCCCAACAATGTTGGGAGTGGTTAGGAAGGCTGGCCAAACGATCCTACAATTCACCCAACATTTGGCACAACCGTTTTTGGGATACTCGGATTGAGTCCAAGAAGACATGCCATCCCTGGTCTTGAAAGCAACGCTTTTCTTTTCCCCAAAACTCTATTTATTTCATTTACGGCCACATCGTACTCATCTTTACCCACTAAATCTCTTTCTTCGTACTCTTCTATTATCCAATATTTTACGCTCTGCGCTCTCCTTCTTAAAATTTTGATCTCTGCTTCACAAACTCAAACTTGGCGCGCAGCGCTATTCACATTTATAAATTGTTTACAGCGCTTGCGTGAAGCTAACAAATGTTGGTAACCCGGCCAAACAACACCTTGAACAATGGGGATTATTTTAATTACCATCTAACAGCCGCCAACATTTTCGACCAGTTTCAAATCGATCCAACAATTCACCCAACGTGGTTTTGAGCCAACATGTGAAAAGAGCGTGTTGACTGAAATGTTGTATGAAATGTTGGCTCGTTTGCCCGGGGCTTAACTTTTTCAACAAAGTTGATTTTTTTTAACACATGTTTTTAACACATGTAACACATTTATATCTGTTCAGTTAATCCATGATTCAGACCTGTAGTAATTTCTGCAAATGATTTTGACACCCACGGAGAGTGTAGCCATTTTTGAAATATTTACTTGCATTTATTTATTCTGAATGTTGCTTTGTAATTTTTTGATTAATAAACAATTAATAATATTTCATGACAAAAAGAGATTTTCAAGATGATTGAAAAGATATAATTTAGCTTTATTCTTTCATAAATAAAACGTGTGATGAAATAAAGAGAAATAAAAAATCTAACTTTCATCTTGATCAATTTTTGACAAATCAGACATCTTAACAACCATGATGGAATTGCTGTGAGCTCTTTCTGCCTGTGTACCAGTGACCAAATACAATGCCATTGGAAACTGCAAATTTAAAAGTATTTACCAAACCATGGAAACAAATATGGAAACTTTTGTCTTTTAACAGACTTTGATGGGGAATGCCTGCTGGCTACAACGCTATAACTTTCCATTGTCATCATCTTAAAGTTGACAAAAAGTAAAAGATGAGTCAATATATAAAAAGGGTGAGTTTTCAGAATTTTTTCTAAGCAAAGCATTAAGACTTAATTAAACAGCCTTCAAAACTCTTGAACAAATGCTCTAGAAGTTGAAATAATAAAACTAAATGACCTGAGAAAAACAAAAAAATACCTCAGTTCTTGTTTCTCCAAGTTGATCTTTAATTACATCAAAACTTAAACATGGTGCACCAGTCTGAGCCTATAACGAAACATGCATTTGTCACATGACACAGAAATGACAAGCTAATTATTAAGAAAAATTCGAATAAAATTTCAATCCTTGCCTTTTAGTATTTTCACTTTTCTAGATAACAAATCCTATGAGAGTCTGACAAACACACACATTCAAATCTGGAAGTTATCACCTGTTTTGGTTCTAGCAGCCCAGCCCTGAGGGCTTTCTTAGGGCAATAGCATTGAAAGTGGAATCCATAGCACTTTACAATAACATTTTATTTTTAGCAAGTTATATCTTCAGGCCTTTTCGTAAGAAATAGCCCACGCAAGCTGCCCAGCAACCGCATGATGTCCCCAGCAATCGCAAGAGCGATGATATATAAATGTGATTTGTTTATCAAGCTAATGTACATCACAAAGGACGTATAGACGCTATTGCCAGATGATGGCAAAATTTTGTTCCAAATCTTTTGTAAAAATGCTTTACTGCCCAGAAAATGTTCCAAGTGCTAATGTAGTTCAAATACTAAGTGCCTATGGTATGCCTAAACATTCACAGCGTACTAACATTTTCTGTGTTTTGATATACCATCTTTGCATTGTTTATGTCACTTGCTTGGGTCACAAAAGATGACTAGAAATGTGTTAATTGAGGAGAAATTGATGCCCTGAAATATACTGTTTTGCACGAGCAATCAAACACTTGCATGGTTTGGTTTGCTTGAGTGATGACATGATTGTGAGTAATCATGCTAAAAGAAAAGGCCTCATCTTAGACAAATTTTCATTGACTTTCCTGGATTGTAACACACTTTGAGCTTTGGTCACAAAAGTTTTCACACTGTTTATGTTAGTGAGAGAGAAATCTAGATAACAATGCAGCATGAAATCAACTAAAATTCTTCATAACTTTTCTTAAGTCCAAAGTAGTTATCATTTGAGATGTCATAATTTAATAAATTTTTCACAACCTCATGATACATTTCATATGCACTCTTGTCAAACTCAAGTTCTTCATTCTCATCAATGGGATCCCCTGGTAGGTACACAGAGTCCTATGATGTAGGAGTTAAAAATATTCTATAATTTAAGAAGTCAAAAATCAGAGAAGGCATACAATAAATGCAGATTAAGATTTTTCGAAGAAGACTTTCCATTCATTTAATCACTCCATTTACAATTCCAATTTTCACTGGTAAAAAAGTATCAACAAAGAACTTGGCAACAACAAAAAATTAAGAGGAATGCAAAATTTCTTACAAGACAAAACATCAAATAAATTTGGGTAGCCTTGTGCATATGAATCTTATTTCATAGCAAAAAAGATCAAGCAAATTACAAGCACACATTTGGTAACCAATCAAAGAAACAGAAGGTCACTTTTAGACTTTTTGTCTGATATGCAATATGTCACAAACAAAAACATTCCTGTTAAAGCCACAGTTGTAAAAAAGTGAAACAAACTACCTTTTCTTCAGATTCCTTTCTGCTGTCTTCTGACAAAAAAGGAAAAAAACATTCATTACACCATTAAATGACATATATCTCAAAGACAAAATTGGAAAATATAAATTTAAAAAAGGTTTTTCCCCTAAGTTATGTTATTTATAATATCCAATTTCATGTGTCATTTATTATTTTTCCTATCAATAGTCTCAAATTGAATTCTGGCACCACAGCTATCACTAAAGATCTACCCATCTTAGTTGATATCATCTCTCATGCTTATAGCAATAAGAAAGAACTTTTCTGATAGAAACTATAAGTGATTTTGATTGCCCTTAAAATGAGCCAAAAGGCAAGCAATTGAAAAGTCCTGATGATAAGGTTATCATGATTGAAACTTGTTCACACAGAGCACCTAAAAGTAAATATTTCAAGAAAAGTACCATTTCCACTTTCATCTATTCTCTCTTCATCTGCATCCAGCATTTCATCTAAAAAGCAATTATAAGTTTAAAGTACTTCTAAGGTCAAAAATTAACTAAAGTTTTAAAGATGGCTTTTAACATCTCAAAACTGTTATCTTTCCGTTCATCCTCCCCAATTATAAGACGGGTTTGGGACAGCCAATTTCAAGCCTTTGTAAATAATGACCCAGGGTGGACTGAACTGAACTGGTGAAGGGTACCTATCATGCCAAATGTACTCTGAAAGACCATCAGGGTATTTGTTTACGTACGCCAAAAATATCAGCAGTTAGTAAGATGTAAATATTGTATGCCAGACAAAGAAAACTGTTTAATAGAGAAAACTGTGGTGTACCAGTCTTCATTTTATTCTTTTTCGTGTTAACTTTGTAATATGGCTTCAGATCATTTTGCATGAAACGGTCTTTTGGTTCGACTGAGTCTTCCTAGATCCACTTACAGTTTTTCTATCTGAAGCATCATACTACATTAAACAACCATAAGGCCTTGGAGATCCCTTCTAATAATCAACCTAAAATAAACACCACATACCGTCCATCCTTTCCTCGTCGTCCGCCATTTTGCAACATGTGAAATCTCGTTCTGGTTACTAGCCCTGAAGGGAAACGAAGGCATCAATTATAACGGAAGGGAGACGAAAGCGTAACCCCCCCCCCCCTCGGGGGGTACTCCCATTGATGCCTGACAGGGGTCCAGTCCGTTTGAGGGTCTTACCAAATGGCTACCAAATGGCACATTTTCGTTAATAGCTGAACTGCTCAGTTTAGCTTGCGATTTGTTATGGATAATGAACAAGAGGACATGAGAAATAAAGTATAATCAGATTTGTTCCGAAAAAGTATGATCAAGAAAACTTCAGAGTTTGATCCTTTGGATAATCCATTCCTACTAAGGAAGAGAAAATATCGACGCAATTATAAATTCTATTTAAACTCATTTTGACAAGCCCAGCTTGAAGGATTTTCAAACTTTTTTTAAAGCACTTAATTTCAGAAAAAGATTAAGATCAGATGTTACAACGTAATATTTTAACTGTACAAAATTGCTTAACTTTTTATTTTTAGTTGATAGTTCTTCTGTTGATATTTCAACGTTAATGTTTTCTATTAATCCGTGTTTCATTTACTTTTCTCCCCCATCTTATTTCGGGTACTTTTAAAATCTAAAAAAAGGTTTCATTACGAGCTATATGATAATGGTTATTCTAAAACTTTGCAAAACTTTTCTATTTCAAGTAAACATCACAAAAGCTGTGTGACACCTTCAGTCAAAATTCATTTTAGATACAGTTTCTGGCCATCCCTTAAGACACCATAACTCTAAAATTTTTCTTGCCGCCAACCATGGTGGCGGCCTTTCCTAAGCCCTTTAAAGACTTTGATATTTTGGCCCCTCCTGAAAGAAAAAGTAATTTAGCATTCATTGAATTCTTAAAGCACATGTGGCTTCCTATTTTTGAAATACATTTCAAAGTTTTTAGATAAGTCTTAATCATTTCTTCTTGTGCAAAATGAATTCTGCGGATTCCAGATTTGTATAAGTTTCTAAACGTATGTGAAATAAGAAATTCCTGGTTCTGACTCACTAATGAATACGGGAAAAGAGCAGCTATATTGGAACTTTGCGGGTTCTCCATTTATCTGTCTATATTTACGGCTTTTGGTATTTGCAGATTTTGCTCTTTCTTTGTAAAAGATTGGGGGAGAGGAACGTTTTTAAATTTCTGCTTTAAGATGGATAGGGATGCCGAAAGAAGTGTAGGAAAAGGGGGAAATTCGTAAATGGGCACTTTAGATGTAATCGCGCACTTCAGATTGCCTGAGATTTACGTACTAAATAATTGCAGTAATATTAAAATAATTTTACAAAAACTTTATGACTATGTAAAATATTAGAAACATTGTAGAACGAGATGAACAATATTAAAAAAAGGGTTAAAACAAAAATCCAAAAATTCCTAATCGAAACAAAACATAATAGATTCAAAGCAATCATACAGTAACGTTTTTCCCTGAACACTTTTACTGTCGAAGTTTCAAGCCCTCTAGATTGGTTTATAGCGACACCACACACTTGTAAGTTATTAACAAACGAAACAAGACTTTGTACAAATGTAAAGCTTAAAACCAAATGTTTTTCTGTCTTTTTTGAGTTCTTATCTTTCTGAAATTTTTGAAAAAAACCCTTGCCTCATTTTAGACACTAAGACACCATTCTTGCTACCTTGCTTTCTCGAGGAGTTTTACCCTTCTATTTTTACCGTGAGCCAGTCAAGTGCTGCTTGCGATAGGTCAAACCTCTCGAGCTAAGCCATATTCTGAGAAAATTGAGGTAGTTTCTCAGTGTTTCGAAGCTCTATCGGATGTCTTCAGTCAGCTTGTGATCGATGCTGATAAATCGTTCCACATCAGCCGAATGTGGCTTGGCAGCAACAATACGGGTTAAGGAAATCACATTACAATTGAAGCTTACACTTTCCACTTGGCAAATTCTTTTAGGTTGTCTTGTTTCAAGTGCTGAAGTTCTATTTCTGTAGCATCTTTGGATTCAGAGACAAAGTCTCTAAGGTTCAGACCCAAGTGTCACTCTGTGGCATTCTTTTAGACTTTCGTCAGTGGTGTCTCCATCCAATTTTCTTGTTCCATTGCTTTACTATTTGGCAAGCTTCAACATCGAATCAATCATCTCAAAAATTTTATTAGTTGCACAATAATTTCAAAAAGCTACAAGAGCTATTGTATTTTTTTCTTATTTCCCACTAATTTTGCTTTTCCCAGACCACTATTTCAAATCCAATGACCACTGATTACTGATTAGGCACTGATTACTGTTAAAAACGGCCTTGGTGAATTTAGTAGCGCTGAGCTAGCCTGTGTTCCAGACTCCTTTTTTGAAGTTGGGCATTGTCCTTCTGAAGCCCTGTTGCTATTCAGTAGTTCGCATGTCAAAACTGGAAACACTATTCATATCTTCAATCTCCACCTCTTGGAAACAACCGCTCATCTTTAAAATGAAATTCGGCTCATATAAATTTTTCTCCCAAAAGATCTGGCTGCAAGAAATACCCATTGTTGCATTCGATTTCTTCGGAATGCTTTCAGAAAATATACATTGCATTGCTTTGACGGCAGATCAAAGGACGGTCGCTAAGCATTTGATGTTTCCCATTCTTGTTATACCAGCTCTTGCGCGACCGGCATGCTTTGCGACTAAATTTTCAAAACCGGCCTAATATCATACTTTTGAAAACACTGTTGACTTTTCGTCGCGTAGAAAGACAGATACCGCAAAGCATGCTGGTTGCGCAGGAGCCTTTAAGTGCATCTATTAACCTCACTAGGTACAATCCCAAGCACATACGGCATAATCGGGCGACAAAAGTGGCCAATGTATTTCTTTTTTAAACAGACCAACGATTTTGCTTTATAAATTGAATCTTAGTGCAGCTGTAAATAAGGGGTAACGGCAGCCCAAATCTTCACTTTCGAGATGGATTACCCTTAAAAGCCATTACGCCCCCCCCCCAGTAAAAAATACACGATTAAACCGTTAGTTTTAAATGTTCTATCTCAATTACGCACATGTCAATTTAGAAAGAGATTCAAGGAGAATGCAGTTTGCAAGATAAAGTAGCTAGATCGAAGACGTTTATATGATATTTTGGAAGATGAGCAGAATCTTATTAGTTGAGCATGTTGTGATTTTCAAATATCGTCTTAACATAATCAGCAGCACTTGCCATCTCCATGTTGCGGCCATTGCACTGTCTTTTGACTGTCAATATTCCGCATTCAATAGAAACAGCTTTATCAATGCTTGGAAAATAAAAAACTAATCATAAACGTAGGCCATGTTTGGAACTGCATGTTTTCCGTGTAAACACGATAGAAGACGGTGTCCTTACTGTTGAGTGTACTCTACGTATCCTTGACAATGCAAATTAAATATGCCTAAAATGATGAACGATAACTGTTTAGCTTTGAACGAATCTATTTTGCAATTAAACTTTTATGAGCTTTTGTTTACATTACGAAATGCAAACAGCTACTGTTGTTTTTTTGCCTATCGGTATATTGGTTTTATGAGGTCTCAATCAGCCATTTCCAGCACATTTTTGTACTCTAACCCAGCTTTGCCACTTCAAAAAATTAAAAAAGAAGTGATATAACTTGACTGTCTCGTCTTGTGGGGGAGATGAGGGGATGATGGAGTGTAACATTACTAATAAAAACATAGACATAGACAATTTCGCTTCACTCTAGCTTACTGTCAAAAGACTTGACCAGCAGACAATTTCGCTTCACTCTAGCTTACTGTCAAAAGACTTGACCAGCAGACAATTTTGCTTCACTCTAGCTTACTGTCAAAAGACTTGACCAGCAGACAATTTTGCTTCTCTCTAGCTTACTGTCAAAAGACTTGACCAGCAGACAATTTCGCTTCACTCTAGCTTACTGTCAAAAGACTTGACCAGCAGACAATTTTGCTTCACTCTAGCTTACTGTCAAAAGACTTGACCAGCAAACTAACGATTTTCCAAGCCAATAATCGATTTTACTAAAAAACTAATGAAAAACGAGGGATGTTGCCCCTTAAACTTTCTTCTACCCAATCAGACCCCCCTTGAAGAGGGAGAGCAATTTTGAATTTACAACTTTGCCATGATTTTTCTCCAACATGCAAAATTCAAACTGGGAAAACCCAGCTGTTAACTATGACAGTGGATATCTCCGCTACAACAAACCAAAGGTCTTGCCAGGAAATAATGGCAACAAAGACATTAAATGATTAGATGTTTGACACGGCTCAGTTATACAGGCTTTGTATCTATCAATGTTTTTAAATAGGTACTCTGGGAAAAATTTTATCATCTAGTCAATGGGATTAAAAATGAAAGTTCACCAGTAAGTGTTTGTTAGCACAAAAGCAAAAAGAAAACAAAGATAACAAATGTGAAATTATATTTTAATAACTCACACTATTCCCCTCTCCTACATACTATGGACCATCTCTTGTAATAAATTTACAACGTAGAATATTGTTTTAATATCAAACATATATTTTCATAAAAGCAATGAAATAATTAATTTTGCAAAAAAAACTAAATTGTTTTTTTCAAACAAAACTACTAGGCTACTAGCTAAAGCCGAAAAACCATTCTAGAAAGCTATCCAATATATGAAAAATCTGAATGCGCTTTCAGCACAGAAATAGTCAGGTGACAAAGAATTTTTAACTTGCAATGAATCCAACAAATTTATCCTTTCAACATTATTAATAACCATACCCTATCTTGCTGTCAAAGTATCTGAAATTGAAAAGCCAATCTCTAAAATGGCTTGTTTATATTAAACTGATATAATGATGTGTAATTGATGTAAGTTGCATTCGGATCCAAAATGATATGTGGATCCAACAGAACATAGCAGACAAACAGGAACTGATTTGATGCTAAGATCATTTTCCAGAGTGAATTTTTCGGCTTAACATAAAAGAATGCCATCAATTTTTCAATATCAAGATACCATGAAAAGGTTCTTAAGGGAATATCAAACAAAAAGACAATCATTTCCTTGCTAAGCATCTCACATGGCTAAATTGGGGTCTGTAATATGAAGCATCATATGTTCTAAATACATGGTTAGCAAACATCTCTAATATTTGATATCTAAACTAAATAAATCTAGAAGATAAAAAATCTTTATCAAAAAAACTACTCACACAGCAACAAAACCAGCATAAGAGACAGAAAAAGCTTGATTTTGGCAATAACAAAGATCAAACAACTGATAATTGAAGATAAGAGAAATTATAAAATTGGTCTACACTGACAGATGGTGTTTAACAATGTGGTGAAACATGGGAAGATAGCTGCATGAATATTGTGATGCCACAACTATGTTGTTTAACAACTGGATTTATTTGCTGACACGAACAGTTAAGAGTTCAAAACTTGCAGGGGGGTTTTCCTATATAATAAAAAACCGGTTTGAAACCAAAAGAGGGACTGGGGGGTTAGAAGATATGTATACCACACTACCGACAAATTTCATGAGTTGACCTTTATAGTGTCTAACAAAATATACAGGATTGCCATAATGATATTAATGTCAAAAGTCTGCAACTAAAGTTCTTCCATATAGACTAGAACGGCATAAGTTACATTTTGTATAGAAACAAAGACCATAAATGGGTCAATCAACAAAAAACATTCTCAAAACAAAGATTGCAACAAAATCAATGTTTCATCATATTCGAATGTTGCAATGTATTGACATCAATGTTGACATCAATGTTGGCTTTAGTCACATGAATAAGTCTGAGACTATTATAAAGTCACTATTCTGGGAGGATGATCATCTAAAATGTTTAACAAAGATAAATCAAAGTTTTTTAATTTTGATATCCATATATTGTATTTTGAAAAGATTACTTCAGTCAGGGACTTTTTTGAATTGTTAAGAAGGTTAAGTGGCAATGTAACATTACAGTTGAAGTTGAAGTAACTTAAATTGAATTATTTTATATTGTTTTATTTAATATAGAGCTAACAGAAATCTTTAAAATATATTTTAATATTAAAGAAAGATCTTTGATATCATTATCATCATTGGCAGAAAAATCAAAGTTATTTAAATTTTTATTAGTAGATATTACATGAGACATGTGATATGAGATTTGAAAAATCTCTACATTTTGACCATCAATGATCCCCCACTGGCTGAAAACATTTTACAGGTAATACTAACAGATAGCCATTGTTGTAAATGTTGTGTAGTGTTGCTTCAAGCATCACTAACACACTAAAAAAATATTTTGTTGTAATCTGAAACCAATACCACTAGCTAATACTAATATAATGTGGGCTTTAGAACAAAGCATTGATTGAGGTTTGAGTGCCTATTTAATCAAAACCTTATCCTTTGTAGATCAGGCTGATTGCCACACATCTGTTATCCAGTAAGCTTTCCCAAATTCCATCTCAACAGTTGGTCTGGAGAAACTACAGCTACCTTTTCTTTGTACTAAAACTTAAAGTCTTTCTTACAAAGCTTGATTTTGAACGTCCATTTCCATGAGCTGGGGAGGCACTTGCTTTCTCTTTGTCACCAGAAAATGTACTATTATTAATGCTAGTAACATGAGTAAACATACAAGGAGAAGATATATCCTCTTTGCAAAGTTTCCTCAAAGACTTAGAGCTGTCTTTTCCTTTTACACTCCTTTTCTTTTCTATGTGTTTTGGGCTTTCTTTAGTTTCTTGCTCTGTCTCATCTGGAATATTACAGTGGACATCTTTGTAAAATACCGAAGCAATTTCATCATTGGGAAATTTCAATCCAACCATTTCCCCTTCCTCCCGTGGATTGTTCAGTTTCAAAGTATGAAAATTGCGCTGAGTCATTTTATACTCTGATCTTTCCGTTATGTTTTCTCGCCATGTTGCAAAGCCATTTTGTCTGTCGACTATACATAACTGCATTTGCACATTTTTGCTATGATCTTGGCTGTCATGTACAATAACAAGAACAGGTACTCCAGTCTTGAAATAATTCCACGTCTCCGTATCAGATGGTTTCCATGAATACAAGGTCGCCACTACTGGGCAGACAACAACACTGTTCGTAAGAGATGAGAAAGAGAGTTTTATTTTGAAAATTTCTGTATCATGTAAGTGTGTATCACTTGAATCAACCCCATCCATGACCCCAAAATCGTCAGTTACTGTTAAAGGTTTCAGCAATTGTGACGCCACCACTGCTTCCGAGATTGCTTGGCTGCCAAGGTTTTGTCGGGCACGATTTATGATGGGCCTAAGCAAAGAAATCAACAAACAGACTTGATCAACTTTTTTCTAGCAGCTATTCCAACTCCTTATTGAAACATTTAGAGTTGTACGCGAAATGGAGACGTCATAAAGCAAATGGGAAATCTGTCGTGAGTCACTACCGCTCTTGCTTGAATAAGAAACTCCTAGTTTACGTCAGCTAGGTAATTGGCTCTTGTTACTTCACACTACGTGGGCCCTTGCAAACCAGACCAAGCATAAAATCCTCTAAACGTATGATATTTGCGCTACTGACCTCTCGTTTTCTTCTTGCGGACCTAAAAATACTATCGTCTATTGACTTTCTTGAGTCTTGTTAACGTTCCGTCGCTTTCGCAGCGAAAAATTTGAGACCATTTCGGTTGTGGAAACTCCTTTCACAGATCGACTGTGCTTTGTGTGGTAATATCACGTGACTTGTTGTCATCTTTCCTGCTTCGTAGCGCGCGAACAGATATAATTTTCGCAACGTGCACAAAATCCTTTTACAAAGTAGCGTTTACTCCTTTGGAATTAAAAGATTCATAAGATTCTTCAGATGCCTTGAAAATTTCATATGAGGCTGGTAAAACTGTTATCATACAAAACAAGCTTGTCCAATTTGTATGTTAGTGGAAACCATTGTGGTACTATGGATGTCAAGAGTGTCCTTAATTGGCTACCTGACAGGTTCTGAATTTCCGTATCCACGAGAAGCCAGGATGGCGCAGGGGATTTGGCCCCCAAGAGTCTCGCAAAACATAGTGTTTTTAGAATTACCATACACGTATTTTTAAGAAATGGTCAAGGCTCGAAACATTCTTGGAACGTTCTTTATGTTAAATTATAAAGAACGGTCATGCTCTTAACATTCTAGTTCAAAAATACACGATTTCTTTAATTTGGTTGGGAAAAATTGCTTTAGTCGAGATAAGGAAATGAGATCAAATCTTCTGTCTATTAATCATTGCCAAGGGGGTTCATGTTTTTATTAAATCTCCAAGGCAACGGTTCTTTGGAATTGAATTCCTTACATCGGCCTCTACCTCCCACAACTTCTCAATCAAACCGATGGTCTCTTAACGGGCTCGAGTACAAAGTACATTTTTTTGTGCGTAACCTTGTCATGTTCTTAAAGGATATAAGTATAGGGAAGCACACAATAAATTATTTGTAAAGGATGGGTGCCAGGCCAGTAAGACCATCAGGGCCCCAATTTATAGCTTTCTTTGTCATGCCCAATTTTGATCACACAAAAATGCTATTAACTGCTGGACAGTCACTGTTTGAGGCCAGTTGTTCCCAGCCTCACCCAAAGGGCAGGTCTTCGTTTGATAAAATAGCTAATAGTGTAGAGAATAGCATTGGATAAATTTCCCTCAATGATGATTAATGCGTCAATTAACCATATAACTTTGGGAGAATTGTATGATGTCTGAGCCATGACATCGAACTGTTTGATTGACATTTAGATCACATGTTTGGATTATATAGAGTAGTATGAGTTAGCATTAGAGAGAGAGAGAGAGAGATAAGGAATTTAGGAAAGGTAATTTTCTTGGATTTCTCTACATCGCGGGTCTCAGCCCCTCACTCAAGACTCCATAAATTGGTGACCTAAAAAAATGACATCCGGGGTTTGAGATCAGTGCGTCGTTCTTCTATTGCCAAATGCTTCGCCTATATATTACGGTTTTGATCCCCAACCGGGACCATCGAGAGCGGGGCAAGGGGGAGGGCAAATTGCACAAGGACCTTGAGGCCTCAGGGGCCTCATTAAGTAATGAGGCCTACTTTAAGAATGAAATTGTTCAGGCGCAGCAAAAGTATGCCTTAAAATAGTAAAAGCTTTAAAACGATTGCAAATGACTGCAATGAATTTTCTGAGATACATTTTGAATAATCTGAAGAGCATGGTCGCAAAGACTTCGCTCCGCTCGGAGGGGGCCGCATCTTTTGGTTTTGCCCCAGAGCCTTCGAAACCTCTCGGCGGCCCTGACACTTCTAATTCGACGCACATACCAACATTGCCAATATGTGTCCCCTAACTGGTCTTACGTAAAGGAGGGCCTTGTCTGTAACCACATGACTATGCTGTACAAGAGAAACGAGAGAGAAACGACAGCAAGAATATCAATTTGCGTAAGGTTTTAAACGAAAGACACTACACGATAAAGGCAACAAATTTAGAGTAGGCAGTGGTGGCGTGGACACTCAATCTGTGTTCAACGAACCCCAGTTAAATAAATGCGATTACAACGTGCCCTGTTTTATAGCTATTGGCCGATTCATAGCGGGGCAACTGGCTTCTGTCTCCAAATTGCCAGTTCAAAAATATGTTACATTTTAGCTCTATGTTATAATTCAGAAGCCACACCAAAGTATCGCTTCTTTCTTCTTTCTCCAAATCAGCATCTTGAAGGGAATGAAACATTTCGTCATCATAAAAGAATATAAGAAAACCCATCTCTAACCGGGTGGTTGGGAAAGGGTTGGGAAATAAGGGCATTCACGACCACCTCTAGGCCTAAAATCTACAAACTTCAAGGGCTAGCCTTGACGTTGTTTACAAAGTGAGAGCGAAATTATCATGAATATTGTAGCGCACTATCATACTAGTTAGTATACTGTTCTATACATCTGGGGGGTAAATTTGGATGGGAATAAGCCAAACATTAAGAAGAAAGCTAACCCAACTCCTATTTCATTACACAGCGCAAAACCTTTTCAGATTCTTCAAAAATGTTTTATTCAAAACGAATTTATAAGCAGTTCTTCATTTCTAAATGTTTCAGGAATAAAATCGAACTATTTCAGTTTGCTGCTGACAAACAATTTCTTGGAAACGATGTTTTTGCTGAAACGGCAAGCACTGATCATGGGATTACTTAAGAATGCCGGTTGCCTTCCAAGTACTGCTTGGCTTATGGAAACCACTTTAAAACAGTGGCTCGTTAAAATGACACTAGGCTCAGTAAATACCAATTCATCTTCAAAATACAGAGAGGTCATTTGTCAAAGTTGCTCGTTAACCACATGCACCAATATAGTGCAATAACGCGCAATAAAACAACAACCAGCATACTTGGAAAAATTGTTCTTGGTTGATGTCAAATCAATTCTCATTTATATGAACTTCAAAAACTGTGGCATTGCTAACTTAAGATTATTGAAGCTACACTCTCTCAGTAAGCTGGTTTCTCTAAGCGGTTTGCTTGCAGTTACTTGGCGTTGTGGTATCACAAGCTTAACGTGCTAGCAAATGATAAATCCTGTGTACGTATTATGTCAGTCTCTGTGATCGGTTGGGTTATTGTATATATTCTCTATACATTGTACATACAATATACAACAGCAATGGTTACATGATTTCTTAGCACTTACAAGATTACATCACATGTGGCAATGGCATATACATACTGAAGACAATCGATTATTTACAAGGTCATTCTCGGATTTAGCAGCATCAGTTACCAGAGAAAACGGGTGCTTGCCATGAAATATACGCGATGCGGATTGGAGGCAGCACTGGTTCGGTCAACAGCAAGCAATTGGCACCTTCACATGCCGCGGTCATTATTTCGAATATAAAACATGACACTATGACACTTACACGTTTTAAAGAGATCATCAATATATTTTCAACAAAATCTTTAATTATTGAAATATGTTATCATTGCTAACTCTATATTCATTTCAATCCAGCAACATGGTAGCAAACAGGCATTATCAATGTCTTAAATCACTTCTCAAGTTGAATTGCATTACCCATAATGTCAAAACAGCATGCTCAGATAATAAAAACAAAATTTACATAAAATTTTAAAGTGCATTTGATAATCTAAATCATTTTTACGACCAATTTAAAACAAGAAGGTGATAACATTACCAGGAGACACGGCAATGAGGATGACCCTAACACCAGGTCTGTGACGTAATAATAGGTAGCTGCTCACTTGGTGCCATACGGGCAAAAAATGGTAATGGATAAGGAAATATAACTGCCTCAAAGCTCATTGCGTTAATATGAGTTGCAGAACATGAGCTGATCCGAACCTTTTTCAATGCACGTCATCCCATGGTAATGTAAATCACCGATGTCAAATATAATCAACTAAACAGATGCACAAAATCAACTGAAAACCAAGAAACATATCCGTAGGTGAAAGAATACTCCAAGTTCTAGCACAGCAGCCATCTACACGCGTAGCAGTTCTAAAATCATTTACAGACTATAACTAACCCACAAATAACAAAGAAGTTCCCCAAATCCGACCCAAGTGTTTACTGGGAATCGGCAGATTCTGACCTTGATCTGGTCAGGATCTTTTTCACCTCAGACCGAGGCTGCTCACTTTCAAAATGGTAGTATCTGCAAATAGAGCCATCTTCGCCAATTCTGTAGCTCACTTCACCAGGGTCAATCCATAGCGTCAACTCAGCAGGAAGGACAGAGTGAATGCAGGGTATTCCGCAATCGTCGGCGACACGTTGAACCAATGAGTCGGGAGTGCTTCCATTAACGCGTATGCATCTGTAACCACTTCCTTTTTCGGGTTTGTCGGGATACCAATGACCTTAAAAAATACAATCCTATACGTCACAATCACAAAACAATCAAATGCGAAGGTCTGAGGATTGCAGAAACTCAAATTTTCAAATCAAAACTCTTTACTTTACAACGTGCGTTTCGAAAAGAAAACAGATACTGTTGTTGCACAAGGCTCCTTCCATGATCCTCATTTGAACCTGCCACTAAATATATAGTAAAAATGTTCCGACAGCAGCCAAAATCAAATTTAATGGAAAACCTAACTTGTTCTATGATCGATAACTGGGGCTTTGCCAAAAAATGCGACTATTTTGAACTTAAATGAGCTACTTGATATGGAGCAGCGGGATCGTTTGCTGCAATAGTTAGTGAAACGACTGAACGACGCATGTCTTCACAGCTTAAACCTTTATTCAAAATCTTATGCAGTACGGCTAGGTAAAAGCCGGTTGACATGTTTATATTAAATGAGCAAATCGAATTGTTGCAACTACAAGGATTTGTTCAATGTTTCCTTAATTTCACGAGAAATTCATCAAGTCAATATAAGTTATTAACACTTCACTAGTGTAATATTGGGGCTTAAAACATTAGATGCTGTAAACATTGAAACATTAGTTGTTTCAAACCCCTTCCCTTTTTGACCTTTCCTCTTTGAACAACAACAAGTTCAACAACTTCACCACCAACAATTTTGCTATTTCATACCAATTATGTAACATGCGTTTGCACCAACACAATAGATTTATTTTCAGCCACTATCTTACATGCAAAAATCTGCAAATAACAAGTAAAATAATGGTGTTATGACATAGTTTTCGCTTCAAACAGCGCTGATGCCATTGATAGGCAATGGTAAGCAGCATTAAAAATTAATTCTCGACCTTACTAAGACATTCAAAGGCACATGGTCTTGATTAATCCCATTTTGATAACGGTTTTAAAATTACAACAAAAACAACATAAATGAACCTTCAAACTTGCTTCTGAGCTCTTCTGAGAGTCGATTTGAAAAGTTTTCCCAAACAACAGCTTCGTGCACTTGCGGCTGTTTCTTGATCAATGAAACAAACAAATTGATCGCTATTTCCACTTCGTCGCCCGAACTCGGAAACGTACTCATCGCCTGTGTCGTATCCGGAGCCGCATTCTTCTGTTTGCTTCGGGTCTTGGGCTTTCGCGGGTCACTTTTGCGCCTAGGTTTCTGATTTGGTAACGATTTCTTCACAGTGGTTGAATTGGCGTTCGTCATAGTTCTGCTTTTCCGGCGGAATCACATAAGCCTATGATAAGGCATACAAAACTTGAATCATTAGGAGAATTTTCCTATGGTAACAATACGACCCTAATTACATAAAAAACATTGCAAGTTATTGATTCGAGTACCCTTGCCGTTTTCGGTACAACAAATACATATTTTGCCTTTGCATATACAGTTTCTAACGGTCAAGATATCCTGGAAAAATTCTTCTGTGATTAAAACATCAATAAGTGATTTACCAGGCAAGACTGCTCAATTACCGTCAGGAATAATGTCCGTAGCCCCTGAAAATGGTGTTAATGAAGGCATGAGACATAAATTCTGATATTTTGTTATAGATTATTACTAATGAATTAAGAGAACGCGCATAAAACCGCATCTAATGCAAGCTTATTTATCAACTCTCGAAGGCCAGCTTGAATGGTGCAATAAATTATTCAGGAATACTTAAATTGATGGCAAAGATGTCCTCAAGCAGTAATTTATGTAATGATAAGTTCACTACAGAAGTAAGACACTTTCACACAAACTGAAGATAAACTCAATGACGACCTGTCTGACACTGACAAGTGGTCAAAGTTATTGAGCCTGGACCTGTTGTCAGTAATGCATGCATAACTAAGATGCATAGATATGTCTTGAATGACAGTGTGAGGTTTGGCCAGTAGTGGGAATGGAGCACCAGTTGGCTGTTTGAAAACTGACTTTCCTCAAGCTGAACATAGATAGAACCATTCCTCAAGCTGACAATCAATATGACAGCTGCATATGGCAAAAGTGACCATTGTTTGCATACATCTTTTCTATGCACCCCTCTATGAACTGTTCTTTACTGTTCTGCTTTGCTATGCTAAGCAGAGAAATTTTTGTATATGTATAAAAACAAATACACGATGAAGATTTGAAGATTCAATGGGATGAAGCATGGAGGCAATTGCTTCTATTTCTCTACTATGACATGATAATTCAAAGCAAATATACTATTAGATCACATGTTTTCTTACCAAAAATATCAAATCTTACTCAAAACAATGTAAAATGTTAGCATTCATGGTCTGGCTTTATAGTTAATGTTAAGGTGGCACATATTTGAGTCCTCTTTTTAAGAAGAATGAAAAAGAAATGTGTTGTTTAGGTGCGCTTCTAAACTGTCCAGGATTGCAACAAGTACTTTTTGTCATGATAAAAACATATTTTTGACTAGCTATTCTACGGCTAAATATCTTATTTGTACCACAACAAAAAGCTTTGAAGAATTTTCCTCATTGACTTTAAGAGATCAATCTAAAACTTTGAAAATTATGAATTCTTTATACATATTTTTAAGGTTTGTTGGAAAATTTGGAATAAAGACCTTGGCCTGACAGTAGTTACACCATTATAAGCCATTATTAGTTACCTTACACACCTATGTTTTCACACCTATGCTCATAGTTACCCACAAACAAAAATGCAGAGAAGAGAAGGATGTAGCTTTAGACAAAAATTTTAAAGATATTCGTTTTCAACCCAAATCTTTCTTTGCAGTATCTTTGCAGATGTTGTCTGTTTTTCTCAATTTCTTTCCATCTAATTTTTCCTGGCTTTACTCACAGACTGTCCTGTGGCAGCCTGCACTGAACAAAGATTTCTCATTTTTTCCAAGTGCTAGCATCTTGCTCATCAGTCCATTCATGATCACATCTCTAGAGACACTGTCTCTTCACCTCCATTTAGGACAACCTGTCTCTGTTTCCTTCTACTGCCATATTCAGTCTAATAATAAGACACTGGAATGATCTGACGGTCACAGCAAGCCAAATAAATGTTACATGTAGCCCCATTATTTCATCCCTACACCTGCAACTGCAGACCTTCTATGAAAATCTTTGTTTGCTATTCTGTTTCTTAGCTCTAGCTGCCTCATTGTATTCCTTCTTTCTTACTGCCAAACAATCACCTCCAGACCAAAAAACACCTTCTTGAAGGCTTTAGATTTAGTTAATGCCTTAGTTATATATATTCTTATAACATAGTACTCCTGACACCTCTCTCCACTTACATAATTTGAATGTCAACAACAACTGGCTAGCCTAATAGAGTTTCTCCTGTCACAATTTCAAAATAGATTTGTGCAAAAACTTCTCTTCAATGGGCCACATGCACCTTCAATCATATAGGCAAAGTTGTAGATGCTTTAGTGTAACAAACAGGGCAGTTTCAAGTTATAACTTCAGGTTTCATGCTTTTATGTAATCATCTGAATATAAATGTTACAGATATATTGAATTATGATTTTTTGCAGATATAACTAATAGTAAGAATATTAGAAAAATGAATTACACTTTAAAAAAATTGTGAAGAGATCAATTGCTCTTAATTCAAATAATGTGGATACTGACACAATTTCTTCACCATTAACAATTGTGTGCCTTCTTTACAGTCTAGTTACCCTCCATTTACAAGCAGGTATATTTAGCTAAAATTCTTACCAAACAAGAAGCTGTCCCCAATATACTCAAGCCTCCAGGAATTTGTGAAAGATCGCTGATGATGCTATCTCTTATCACCTGACTTAAATGCACAATATTCTATGGCCTAGAACATTCTGGTTACCAGATATGATGCAATGTGAAGAAATACTTTTACAAATATCTAAAAAGTATTCATTTCAAGAATTCTGAAAGGGTGGCTGAGGCTTTTAAAACATAGCTCTAATGGAGTTTTCATTAATGTACAGCCTTGCATGAAGTTTGCAAGTTTGCATAAAATTTGCATTTTTGCAATAAATATAAATTAAAAACATTTAATAAAACATGTGGCGAAGCAAGGACCTTGTCACAACTCTTTTACTACATTCAATGTTATCATTTTCCTTATAAAGACAGGTTTTCTCACCTACTCTAGTGTCTTTTAAAATTTCTTCATTGATATGAATTTATAATATACTTCAAGGTATATTATACTTCAAAGTTCAAAAAGGCATTTTCTGATATTACTATATCTTTGAGCATAAATATTCTATATGGTGTGTTTCTCTAACATTAAACATCTCAAATAAATATGCTATATCAAAGCACTATTTCGTAAGAATGTCATTATATTCAGTGTAATTATGCGCTAGGCCTCCAAAAATGCCCCAAGCGTCGGCAAGTGGTTCAAGAGTAATTTGTTTTCCATTCCAAAGTGGACAATGTAAAATGTAAGAATGCCTGATTGGACGGATTGACTTTAATTTTAGATTTAAAACAAGTTTGTGTTGTTGGAAATTATAAACGTGAAAAGGCTTTAATCCTAATCAGCGTAAACAGCGAAAATTTTTATAAGCGACTGATTCATGACAACAATAAATACCACAGACTGTCTTTCAAAGTCCAATGAAAAAGGTTCTCTTCTGATTTTATCGTTTAACAAAATAGACTAAAATGAAGACCCATTGGTTAAAAATACCATGACTTGCAAGACAGCTTTTGGAGCTAATCCAATTTTTACTGCAGCATCAAAGGTGAAAAAATATAAGCCACAGTGGGGATTGTGTTGTAGAAAAACCTTTGGAAATTATTGGTTCATTCAAACATAAGCGAGCTGCTTATCGTTAAACTTGGCTTTTTGCATAAATATTTTTAAAATATAACTTTTTTGACAACATTGCTACAGTAAGCTAAGAACAAACTGAAAGCTTGAACAAAATAATGACCGCTAAATTGTCTTTTGTTTGAAAAGCCACGTCAATAATGCAGGCTTCGGAAAATTTTCAAGACAATAGAAGTCGTAAGTTGGGCAACTTCCATTCCTTTGGGGGTAAATTAGCCCCGATAAATTAATAAAAATCTTATAGAACAACAGTTGACTCCCGTACCTTTATTAAGATGCACTGTTGCTGCTCTCTTCAAGAGATGTTAAGACGCCAAGTCTCCTTTCAGCTCGGGTATAGATTTAATCTTCCGACAATTCTGGCGCGATTGTCCCGTAACTTCGGAGCGTCCGATCTACCTTGAAAGATCGTCAAATCCCCTTGTAACTTCTATGAAGCGTTGTTACTTTACGAAGTACTATTTCCAGTTGGTTTAAAACTTATTTTGGGAAGCTTTCAGGGAAAAGTTTCGTGCAAAATGGCCGCCACAAAGTCCTACGCTTTTCCGCTCAAACAGCTGATCAAAATAAACCCAAGTGCATTGTTTTTCCGATTGTCCTGAAAATCGATGTCCCGGATGAAGATATCTTGCAGAGGAAATGACGTCAGTGAAAGTGGTCATGAGGGAAATATGAAAATGGCCCCCTTTAACAAGAGTTCGTCAACTAACAATTATAAATTAGTGAATCCTTTTGGGATCTCAGTAGTGACTGGTGAAGAAAATAGAAAGAAAAGTAATTTGCCAAGCGAAACTTGCATAAGGGGGCAAGGGGCTAAGATTTCTCTACAAACAAATTTATGAAACTGTTTCATTTAAGTTCGACAAAATGAAACATATGGACGCTATTGAAATACAATTCAGATGTATGATCAAAACAATGACGGTATCTTCAATGTTGAGTCTAATTGAAATGCTCCTTGGGTTTAGCTTACAGAGTGCGATCATTCTCAAGTTCTCAGGGCCGCTTAGAGGTTTCTATTGCCCTGGGTAAAGCTGGAGATGAAAAAGCACAAAAATCTGTAAAACGAAAGGGGGATCTTATAAACAGATTGATCAAATAAGATACAATCTAGATACACATAAGATACAGAAACAGATACAATCTAGAAGCTTTAGCTCAAATAATTATCGAGGTTACATATAACTGTGAGATATTCTTGGACATTTTGTTTGAATGGTATTTCCAATAAAATGTTACGTCAAAGAACAGATCAAGGCCAAGGTCAAGAAAATGAACATGATTTCAGCGCTTCTTGTATACCAAATCTCTGTGGAAAGCAGAAAGACAAGTATTTCATGAAATGAAAAGCATTTTGATCAGATATTCTTCCTATGAGCACAGATAACGGAATATTGTATCCGCGCATTGTATATTACCCAGGGGAGATACCCAAAATTTTACATGCGGGGAAGTCCAGCCGCAACACCCGTTCCACTCGTTCTTTCTAAAATTTAGAATGTGTGGTGACCGCAGTTATTAAAAATTACCTGAAAGTATAAAAAAAAATTCAGCAGACCCAAAGCAAGTGTTGATAAGGCAGATTCAAAATAATCAAAATGCAAAATCTTTTTATTGAGCACATAAAAGTTCACTAGGCATGATAATTTAGACAATTTACCAAAAATATCAGCTAAAACAAATCTGTTTTGGTATTCCTGTTTTTGATATTGTTATATGTTAGCTCAACCTTATGAATCAAAAGGATAAATTGTTAAATAGATGCCCAAAATCAGGGCCCCCTTGTATGTAAAAAGTTCAAGTGTCCTCCTTGGGGGTATATTTGTTAGATTTATAATAAGCCAAGGCCCATCGGCAATGCAGAAAAGGGAAGAGCGGCTACTGAAAAGGCGGTTTTCTTGTTGCAAAAGTAGCAAATGATGACTTTACTACTGGCTTTGCAGACACGACCTCAAGTAGCATGAGAATGAAATTTTCATTTTCTATACGAACTTGCAAAGGAGAGAGTACTTGGTTGCAAGGATGTTTTCGTAATATTCCTTTTCTGAGAGAGGAGGGGGCTAATAATTATAGAACGACTTCTTCATGCATAGAAAGAGAAGAAAAAGCAGAGCTGAATGTCATGGGAGGCTGTGAAAGCCTCCTTCCTTCAAGTTGATAAAGTTTCACCCGAAGCTGTATCCCTATTCATTTACGTTGATCACCATGTCTTAAAAAAAAAGAGTTACGAATACGGTGCTTGAAACAAGGATTTAACAGTTGAGCTTTATAAAACCCGCTTCTTCTATATTTTTATGAATTTTTCATATTGGTAAAGCAGTTGGTTTTAACTTTCCTTCATTTTTGTAAAAAACATTTTCTCTTCCACGCCCTTCAAACTTTCAGAAATCGTGAAAAATCCCTCTTGTAGTAATTCGATCTATTTCAAAATTTTTGCTGGTGCTAATGATGCGCCAAAAACTGCTGGATGTTCTGTACTTCAATAAAAAAATATTTTCTAGCTTCTTTTAAAAAGAGATGAAACATTTTCTACTGAGATGAACTAAATAATATTGAGCTTAATGCTTGAACTAAATTTCTGTTTGCAATGTTGTGACGTTGTACAGTAATAAGTAATTTTGAAAATAAAAAGATTTGATTTGTTCATAAGTTAACATTAAATCTCCTAAAATAATAGTCAAAACTCTAGGTTCTACGTTCTGTATCTTTAAGTACTTTGAACAGGATTAAAGTAGGGCAAATGTCTCTACCGAAAGGGCAAAGCTCACCTAGAAAAACGACAAGAGTCATTGCAGTCTGTGAGTGAAGTAGTCTTAAAAGAATTAAAGAAGAAGGCTACGCCAGTCCATTGGCGTCGCCAAAGAGTTGACTAGGGTAGACTTGCCCATCCCAGTTTTTCAAGAGGTCGATTTCCTGAAACCCAACCTTTGAGGGGGGGGGGCTGGTTTCATTACAATTCTAGTTCTTGCAAAAAAGCCCCTCCTCCTGTTACAAAATTGCTGTTCCATTTGCAAAAATATTGAAATAGATTGAAATACTAAAAAAGGCGTTTCCCACGCTTTCAAAGTGTTTGAAGGGCGTGGTCGAGGAATTTTTTCTCACGACAATTTTTCCCAGGCACTGCGTCTGTTTTGAAACACTAAAGATATTCAAAGGGCATAGATGTATGGAACCAAGAAGGCTTTTTCGATCGCTAAATAATGCGCAAGAACACGACATTACCAGCTCTGCAGCAACATAACGTCCATCTATTTAATCGCGTTTAAGTGGATTATCGAACCGACGGGCGAGTCCCAAGAAGTAGAGGAACTGTGGCCTATGAAATTGAATCGCGAATATAATACAACACGAACACAAAATAATCGAGGAAGAAGATTAGACATGTTTCAGATAAAATGATATTGGTTTCGTGCAAAGCAGCGCGCGTTTTGCTAACCCATAATTCCACTACCAGCATTTTGAATAATGTATGATCCAATGTGTCCAAAGGACAAATAAACACAATTGGAGAATCATAAACTGCGAAAGCTTTCAATTGCCAATGAACATTGCACTCCAAGTATCAAACCAGTTATCAACAAGCAAGAAAAACGTTTTGAAAAGTCTTTTTACGGTAAAAACAGTGTCGCAACTGACCGAAAAGAAGATTATTGTGCTGTTGCATGTAAAACTGTCAGGCACCGCGGAGCGTTGAGAAAAGTGGGGGTCTAAAAAAGCGGTGGGGGGGACTAAAACCGTATAAAAAGAGGCTTTATTGGTAGTTTATTACTCAATATTTGGTATTTTTTGCAAAATAGTTTATTACTTAATATTTGGTTTATGTTTTCAAGCAAGTTCTCTCATCTATTTATATTTTTCAATGTTTTCTAAGTCAGGATGAAGGATTTGATTCTTTTGTCTATTAGAAACCTTCTTTTGACTTTATTTTGAGTCAGATACCGTATTGACTGTAATGTCTGAATATTGTGTCTGATTCTAAGTTACATTCGGCTTACGTTTATCACTCTATGTGTTTATAAATACTTTCAAGAATACAAAATACGTGAATGTTACAAGATAATTTATATAATATGGCACACAGCTGTACAAGACACTTTTTTCTAGGAGGACTGCTACATTATCAGCAGCTATAAAATTAATGAAGAACCCGCGTTTACAATAATCTGCATGCTTCCAATTTCAGTTTGCTACAGTTGCACATTCAGCTAAATGAATACATTTTTGCATAGAAAAGTTCTAAATGCCATTTTCTCAAGAATTTGAAAAAACGGATGCTCAAAAGACCTTAAATTATAGTTAGTCCCTTGCTGTAATGTTTTCGGATGTTCATACAAAATTAGCCACTTTTGTTGTGGGCCCTCAAAGTTCATTAACTTTTGTTGAAGACTCCCAACGTATAGATTTCTTCTAAAGCAAATTCTTTTCGACGTATACAAAACACTCCAATCTTGATTAAATGGCGTTATCTCGGTGAAAACCTGCAGTAAAGACCAAAACTTATCACTAGAACTAATGAACTAAGTCAAAACAGAACTATCATGCAAAATGGTAAATGTCAAAATTTTGTGCTTTTGATAAGCAAATAACAAACATGGGCAGAATCGATGAATTTTCATAATGCAACATAGTCAAATATCTTGCATACCTGTTTAGTTTACAGTGCGCGTGTTCAGCGAGAAGGTCAGACCCGTCGCTGTGGACGTCATGTAGAAATCATGGTATCAACTAACAAATGCATTTTAGTCGGATGAAAGGCGAGTGGGCACTCACATCCGAAACATACATTTTGAGCATTTTAGTATTAGCACATTTCAGGTGAGTATGACAGCTGTTTTTTGGCAAATTTCAACTATTTACTTTTTATTTATTCTTTTTATTCTTCATGGAGCACAAGAAAGTGAATAAAGCTTCTACTAAAATTTCAGAATTGATATCATCTATTGGGGAACGCATTAAATTGCAAAACCTCCATATGTTGAAGAAGCAGACGTTAACAAAATGGAAAAAAGCTGAAATTTCAAACTCATTGGGGTCAAGATATGTTGAATATTAAGTTCCTCTTTTGTTCAATTTTTCTGAACTTTTCTTTCAGAGATCGCAATGTGGAAGTCAGTGCTTTTGCTCGTGCTAGTGGTTACGATCTCATTAACGGTAAAGTTCAACTTGGTTATATCATGATGCAGCAAGAAATAATCGATATTACAGAAAAAATACATTCAAAAGACTCTTCTAAAAAGCATTTAGTATTCAATTTGCCACTTGAATTCAAATTTGAAAACTACGTATCATTTGTAACTGCTTGCTTATTCTTAAAAATTAATAGTTATCAATCTCAACGGTAATCTTAAAAGCAATTACATTGCTTGTTTAGCAAGCTGCAAAACAGCGTTAAGTATTATATGTTTATCATGGAAATTTTTGACAATTTTGTGAGACTTTTCTTCCGTAGGTGGGAAAGCACAAGCATCGTTCGGTTGCCAGCAAGTTAAAGAAGAGTTCAGTAAGTGTTGTTCGGCTGATTTTAATTGAATCCAATTCAATACTATTCATGATCACAGTTTTAGAAGCAACGTCGTCTTTACCTCTGGCCTTTAGCTAGCAATTTTTATGAAAAGCCTTTGTTTTATGAATTAATCATAGCAGTATAGCTGCATTTCATATAATTGTGAGTTCCTAAAAGATATTTTATGCATGCAGTGGTGTGATTGTGCTTCCAATGAGGTGTTTCTGTTTAGATCTTTCAGCGTTGCTGCTTTAATAATTAATGATCAGAGAGTCTTCCCTTATTTATATCGTCAAAAATATTAAGTAAAAGCCATATCTATTTATTTCAGGCCGCTAAGCAACAAGCCCCGCCTGCAGAAGGAACACAGCAGCCCAAGAATGAACAAGAAAAGCAAGAGTCACAAGCAGATGCGGATGATCAGCAATCAGCACCCCCACCTGCCGATGTCCCACCTCCCGCAGACCAAGATGGGGATGCTTCAGGTGACCAACCTCCCCCTCCTGAGGCACCTCAACCAGCACCAGCTCCGCCACCGCCTGATGCACCACCACCACCCCCAGATGCACCACCACCACCCCCTGATGCACCACCACCACCCCCAGATGCACCGCCACCACCCCCAGATGCACCACCTCCTCCTCCAGAACAACCAACGCCACCACCTCCACCACCACCTCCCCCTGCTCCAGTACCACCACCAGTCTACCCTTACCCACCTCCGGTCCCTGCACCATATCCACTACCTTACCCCTATCCGACCGAACCCGCACCTGCCCCAGTACCTTGTACCTCGAACGAAGACTGCGTTGAAGTTGACGGTCTACCTTATTGCGTCAACGGCTTCTGCGCAGCTACTCCATATGGTAGGAAAAAGAAGGCACACAAATTTGCCGGGGTACGTACCAATATTCTAAGAATGGTTTGTATTGGTCGAAAAATTTTTTTACGAGGGAATTCTATAGTCAATGCATCATTTGACACCTTTCTTTATGCAAGTCAGTCACCCCAAGCCATGAAATCATAATTTTGTCTTTTTGATCAATATTGACTCAACATTTATAGGGCTAGTTAAACAAAAGAGAATTTTGCCGTTCTGTGACATTTTCACAAATTAATCCCGGCATTTGAGATGCTTTTCACTGAATTGGCTTTTTGTACGTGCGCGTTTTGCGACTTAGGAAGATGACTACGCAAGTGGAGCTGAAACGATGGATGTTTCTTCAGCAGTAAGAGAAGGGGACGAAGAAGCTGCTTCCAATGACGAGGAACAAGCCGAAGAGGTTCGTCTACTCCTATAATTCAGATTAGTACTTGACATGTTTCAGCATTGGCTATTTTTTGATGTTGATATTTGCGAATTGTAAAAGAGATAAGCACGGAAAAAGTAAATTAAATATAATTAAGGGTTTTGGTCCACCCTATGAGGAAAATTATACCAGTCGTATGACGCTTTTACCTACTTTGGAAAATGCTTATAAGACAAATGTTAATTAGAATTCTTGGAACCGCTAACTTTTGTTGAGGCAGCTGAGATACTTTAGAAACAGACGAGGGAAAAAGAGTAACAAGATTGCTGTCGTGGTAGGCAAGTCAAATTGCTTCTTCTCATGGTGCAATTCCTTCATTTTTGAATAATCTTCCCAAAATCTAGGATGTACCTAAAATTGATCAAGTGATAGAAAATTATCAAAATATATTTAATTACTCGCAGTTTGCGACTTTTAAGCTCTCCACGATTCGCTGACTGTAATCATTGATTTTCGCGTGGTAATGAATTTTCTTTTATACAAACAAGAACGAATTGAAGCTACTTTTGAGAGCTTTCGTGCCAATGCAGAATAGGGCTTTCAAAAGATATGAAAACAAAATTATTAAAACGTATCTAATAGATTTTGTTTCGTATATTTATGAAGCATAGAAAGTTCGAGTTTTCTTAAGCTGCTACAATTTTGGAAACTCACTGATCCAATGCGTTGAATATAGTGTGCAAACTCATTTGATAAAATAAAAAATTAGGAAATACAAGAAAAATAATTTGGTAAAAAAGTTGCAGTTTACCAAAATCGTGTCAAAGCCCGCGCACCTGCTAGAAAGTGTTTATTCCAAATGGTCATTGACTACCACTTAAACACCAGCATTGATTTAGATTGCTAGTTTTTGAAGTAGACTGAACACTTGCTCTACCGGCTGCTTCTCTGATATTAATGATGTGATATAATATTGAGCAAATTGCATTCCAATAGCGATGCCGTTGACAATTTTAATGAATACAGGTTTTCCATATCTTTTGGCGTTGAGGTCATGAACTTTCGCTGTCCATAACTTTTATAGGCGTAGGAGAAATAGGGGCTGGGGGCTGCAGTTCCCCAATCAGGCAAAGTTTATCAAAATTCAGGTCCGTTCAGGCAACTTTATCTCAATGAAGCAACAATAGTCGGGAAGGACTCACAATTTGCCACCTAATCGTTCAGCCTCTACTACACCCATAATTATTTCTAACCCACTCTTCACGTCTATCGAGCGATCTGAGCTTTCAACAAAAAAGATATCACATGCATTGGCGATTTCTGTATCTTCCATCTGCTAGAGGCAGTGACGTAGCTTGACTTTCCAAACTAGGGGATGGGGGTTCATGAGTAGTAAAATTTAGCGACGAAGACATATATGAAGGTACATTTAGGGCTTTTCATCTACAGATCGACGATTATACCGACAAACCAGGGAATTTTTTCACCAACTAAAAATTTACCGACAAACTCATGAAGAATTGAGGGGGGTGTAACACCCCCTACACCCCCTACACCCCCTCCCGCTAGCTTCGCCCCTGACCAGACTAGAAGAACAGATTTAAAGACGAATGCATTTTGTGAGATTAAGTAATCACTGTTCAAAATTTAGAAGCCAGCCAAACAAACCTTAATCGCTGAAAGACAAGATCAGGCAGATGAAGAAATACAAGAAGAGCCCATGGGAATTAAGAGTGGAAAGACAAAGGAAAAGCAGGCTGTGGTAAGTGGTGATTGGTTTGACCATTTAGCGTGACAATTGTTATAGGTGATGAAGTTAATCAAATGCTCCGGGATATTCTTTTATTCGGATCCAATTCTTATCAAAATAAGATGCGTTGAGTCGTTTATACATCAGCCAACCGTGAAACTGATATCTTTAGCATAAATATGGTTGGAAAGCAGTATTGTCTATGTTCAACATAAATGAAATCATACGGCAGAAAAAAGAACTTGAAATATAATATGGTTATTTTTTGCGTATATTTAATGTTCTGGCTTTTCCCCTAAGTTCTGATACCTAACTAATGACATTTCTTTTGATTCTGTAGTAGCAGTCGCTTAACTTTTTCACAACATTAAAACATCTGCTATAATGCAAAAAGCATTATCACATTCAAATTTTGGATGTATGCTCAATTATTTGATGCATGTCATCAACAGCCCGATGCAGCTCCAACGAGTGCACCAGAAGCGAATGCACCAACAACTGCCTCGCAGGCAAGTAGCACAGCAACGCAACCAACATCTGCATCCAGTACAACATCTTCATCGTCGCGACCTTGTCAAACAGATGATGATTGCAGTAACACACAAACACCATACTGCGTAAAAGGCTATTGCTCAGCTCAGCAAAGCAAAAAGAAAGTCAAAGGAAAGAAGAGTTCCAAAAAAGTAAAAAAGAACAAGAAACACGGAAAGGAGGAAAAACACGAAGAGGAGGCGAAACACGGAAAGGAGGAGGAGCAAGAATGAAGTTTCATAACAAAGAACTGTGATTTTCATTGGCCAAGGAAAAACTTATATGATTCATCAAGTATGAATTCGTTAATGATATAGCATGCATAAACAGTATTTACCTATTACAATTGGAGGCACCTTCGTACTCTGTAAGGTTTAATTTTGTGTAGCAAAATATTAGCAAGATGACACCTTTGTATTAGTATTGGAGGTAGAGAACGATAGCTTGTTAGTAATTTAAAGTATGAAAGAGTTGAAAGACACTTTTGATAAAGAAACTGTCAGTTTTCTGATTGCCTCTAACTTTAATCAGAGCAAAGCCAGCAGATTAAGTTGCACATTAAAGTAAGGCATCTAATAATTTTCATCCTTCCAAATGATATGTGTTTCATTCATTGCAATTTGATTCATAAGGAACTCAATTGCCAGTCGATAGTATAATACCGAGCTAAGCACGTCAAAAAAATTCTATTTTGAAAGAGGATCCATATAGGACAAGTTAAATTTGTTTTGAAATATTATCCAGGTATTCCATGTTGCATACAAAAAAATTGAAAATATGTTTCGAGAAATATGTTTTTAAATGTTTGGAAGGCTTCAAATTATTGGAATATTTATTTGCGCGCCTGGTCGACGTGATTCTTCAAGCGATACGGTACCTAAATTTTCATAGCTGAAATATATAACCGGCTCCTTAAACTTTGCATGAATGGCAAAGAATTAGATATAAGATGATGGGAATAAGAAGTGTTTTAATTTGCAATCTAATCATTTATCTGTTATAAACGTGGCAAGATTAAGAAAAATTAGGGCTAGGGGGCCAATCGCTTTTTATCCACCAAGGTTTGTGTGTAAATAAAAAGAATATTTCACTTCAAACTTCAGGAATCCTTCCTCAAAGAAGTCAAGATATTTTCATGGAATGTCGTAAGTTCTTAAGCATGCACTTTCTGGTGGTGTGATCCAAAAATGAAGTCTTGATCAGTCTTCTAGAGATTGGTGCAAAACAAAACTGCAAACAAATGTATTCTGGGCTACTGCAAACAATGCATGTTTTTGATTAAAGACGTCCTTCTGAGTAATTTGTTGTCGGCAATGCTCAGGCCCAGTGTTAAACACCAGTTAATGCTTGTACCATGAGATATGCCAGGTCAAATAAGCGCATATCTTTTAAATTGTGTGATAACAGCTTGGGAAATAGCGCATTCTGCCTAGAGCAAATACGCCGGTAAGTGCAACTTTTGCAAATTTCTATCTATTATATCCAATTTTCTTCTTTTTGCAGCATTTTCTTCCTGTGAATGCTTTAATAAACGTTGATGATATATTGTATACAACAGTGGAGATTTGGAACCTGAGAAATGGAATTTTGCAGTGATTCCATCGATATTTGAGCAACTTCATATTTTTACCGATCAACTCGTTTTTGTTTGCTTGACTGCCATCATCTTTATGATAAAAAACAAGTCTGCCTCTTTGTTTCCATTCGTTTGCTAATCTATCAAAAAAGCTTTTAAATCAACAACAAACAAAGCAATAAGATGGAAATGATTCGGTGGTAAGAGAGTAAGCAAAACGCCATATACTTAAACAACAGAAAAATGTGCAATGAAATATAAACAATAAGAATCAGAAAGTTAATTTTTCATCATTTTAGGTGTCAAGATGAATCGCACGTCTGTTCTTTGGCTCTTGCTTTTGGGAGCAGCCCTGTTGGTAAGTAAAGAAGTTTTCGCTTCTTTTTGGTTTCGTTATTCTTTTCCATCTTGACTTTTTTACCCATTTCTATCTTGTCTTCAAGCCTCACTACAACACTGTAATTAGAAACTTTAAAGAAAGTTTTCATTGGATATAATTGTCCTCATCTTTGATCTTTTTAATTGTAGGAGGGCAAAGCAGTCCGCCACAAGGCCAAGAAGACACACAAGGCTGGCGAGAAAGAACAAGATGTTTACTATGTAAGAAAACAACTATCATTTGCTCTTTCCATTCACCGAGTACACGGATAAAATGTTTGGCATTTTCAAATTATTAACTTTTTCACGACATAAACGGCGAAAAGCTTCATTCAGGATATCTCAAGGTATACGCGAATTTCAAATTTATTTAGCTACGTATTTTTTTTCCTTGTAAGATCAATTCTTGTCTGTAAGATCAAATCTGCGTTTATAAATAAGTGTGAGTAAGACTATGAAAATGACAATTTATGTCCTACTCTTTTTTGCAAGTTGAATGTTTTGTTATGATGTTGTTTCTCGTTTCTTACATTGAGGGCAATCATTCAAAAAACGTCCGTCATTATCTCAGAAAGGCAGAGAAAACAAGTGAAAAAAAGAAAAATTATTCTTTTTCTTTCCACATATGAATTGAAAATACTAAGTATAATATCAAGGGGTAATATAGAAATGAATTTCGCATCAATGAGAGCTGTTACTGATATTGATATTTTATCTTTACAGCCACCCCCACCACCGCCTCCCCCAGATTACCCACCTCCTCCACCACCACCTCCATATTATCCTCCACCTTATTATCCACCACCTCCACCTCCACCTCCACCACCCCCAGTTTATCCTCCACCTGAATACCCACCTCCACCAGCTCCGGTGCCTCCACCAGCCCCTGCACCAGTCCCCTGCACAATGGATGCCGACTGTGTTGCTGCACCTGGCACACCATACTGTGTAGCTGGATTCTGCGCAGCGACACCATTAGGAAAGAAAAAGAAGAAGAAGCTGAGGAAGAAGGCCAAGTTTGCCGATGTGAGTTGACCCTTGAGTAATTTAAAGAGACAGTTAGATACGCGATGTAAAAGTGGAAGTTTGCTTTGAGCAACATCATAACTTTTTACATTGGAGGCATCAAATTTACACATCTTATCAACAATTGGCAGCCTATTTTATATAGAATTCATTGAAAGCATCAAAAAATCTTGTCATAATTTACCATTGCTTATTTTGCAGCACGAGAAAGATTTGGCAGCTGGAGAGACAAAAGTGGAAGAGGCTGTTACCAATAAGAAGGTTGCTGATGGAGATGATGAAGATCATGCGGAATCTGCTGAGAAGATCGTACAACAGGCCTTGGCCAAGGGAAAGGAGGGCGAGGAGAAAAAGAAAAAGGAAGAGAAGAAGGTATTAGGATATTTGCTTTTTGATCACAAAATGCTGTTTATGTATTGTCCTTTTGTTATATTCTGTGGATGTCCTTTTGTTATGTCCGGTGGATGTCCTTCAATTTTAGACACTCCTGGCTTTTTTGAAATGAAACTACATCGCCTCTGGTAGTTTGATAAAGGAAAACAAATTATTTGTATATTTATCGTTGGGTAGATGATAAACCGACTTGATTTTGTGTTCTCCGTGAGACAAGAATTATGATTGCATGAACGCATGTGGGGTTTAATTCTATCAATATCTTATCTCCATGGATTTTTCATTACTGTTCCCGCCATAGGAGAAAAAGAAGGAAGAAGAAAAAGAGAATGGAGCTGACAAAGAAGAGCAAGAAGACGATTGAACGACTCAAGCAAAAGACAGGTTTTTCTTTTAATTTTACAAAACGACAGAATGCAATAAGAACCCATCCTACAACTTTTATGGAACCCTAGATTAACGGCAGCAAAAAATGAAATGGCAGCAGAAATGAGAGCTTCTTTGCCTGCAAAAAATAAACCATGCTGATACCTGCATCTGCTTGTTCCACAAGTATAGCGCGAAACGGAATTGACAATTCAATGGTGCATGGTTTCATAAACAGGCTGTTTCCAAATCTCTTCTCCAAACTATCTGGTCCCTTCAACCAGAAGCAAACTTTCAGCTTAAATTTCTGCTTAAACAGTTTAAAATTGATAAATTCTGTAAAGTATAAAATGTCCTTATATTTAACTTTCAGGAGAGTCCCGAGATCTTCGAAGGCAAAATCGACCATCTAAGGTTGTAGGCATCTGTTCACAGATGTAAACCAAAGAGTCACATGCTTGCTGTCAATGCTTGCTACTTCAAAGGAGTCTTATTGTACATCAAACTGATGATGATGACGATTTTTATAACTTAATAAAAAGTCTTGTTTTTTTGTAGTTTCTGCCTAGTAATATTCATACTAGAAACAGGATCAAAAGCTCGTAAAGATACAAGATTGTGATGAATCGAACAATAAGATGGGTATCTGTATTTTGATAATGCCAGACACCCCTAAAATTGAAAACTCTATTCTCCTTCAATGCTCACTAGATAATTAAATATAAAAAATTGAACGAGAAAAATGAATGAATTAGCAGATGGATGAATAAATAAATTAATTAATGAACAAATGAATAAATGAATGAAACAATGAATGAATGAATAAATGAACGTGCGACAATCTTATCTTGATTAATGTGACCAACTGTTTCAATAATAACTACAACTGTAATTTTTAACCTAGATCTTTAATTTTTGAAAGCTACGTTCATACCTTACATGGCCTTGCTACTAGTTTTACAGTTTCTACGGAAAAACTTTCCAATTTCAATCAACAGATTTCTGAGATACAGTTGCAATTAAACATTATAACGAGCCGTCTTGCACAAACTCTCTTCAAATGAAACGACTGATAAAAAATAACAGACTAAAGTTATAAAATATAGAACTAATAAATTAAGATATTCTGCACTAATTAGCTTAGAAAAAACTTAGAATTAAGAGTATAGTTTGGACGACTGTTCAGTTATTTTTCTGGACCAGAGTAAGTTCTATGACCTCTCTGCTGATATTTATTTTAAAAGATCTGGGTCATGGGCAAAAGTACTAGTATATCATACCAAGGATCGCTGAAGACCATTACAAGAAGCATCTTTTTTATGAGAAACTAATGCTACCCTATATAACACTTTGTTCAGAGAGTGTCAGACTTCTTTAACATGCATTACATTTCAACTTAGTGAACTTCTTAATCATCGAAATATCAGGTCAAAATATGGTTGCGCCGATAAAAAACCGCCCTCATATTATCTCAATTTTGAGGCTGCCAGTAGGAGGCCTCTGAGACGCTGCAGAAATTGCTCACTACATGACTATTTACAATCAAATTTATTACATGATGTTATACTAGAGGGCTTGGGCGAAGAACACAGTTTGCTAATAACAACAACGCCACTCTTCATGTGACGACAAGAATGTGTTCGAATACGAAGCCCGCCACCGCAGGACGCAGAGCAGTAACTCAAAAAGCGGGGAACCCATTTGTAAATGTTGCATGGTCCATTGTTGCAAGGCTTCGCAGTTACAGGAAACTCACCTGCGCACGTTATCAGTGGCTTGTTGTTGGCTGGTTGATTGGTTAACGAGCACCCAGCTCGCCTCACCTGGATGCTGGAATAAATACAAAAAAATAATTGAATGTTTAGCAAAAAACACAAGGATCAATGCTAAATTTCTTTATCAACTCTAAGGTATTGGACGCTTAAAGAGGCCTACGAAACAGTGCTGCACCACTGCCTGCTACACCACAACATAGCATCGCCTGTAAGGGTGGGTATGGACAAATATGAAAAATGTAAGCAATATCAAAACAAAGTTGCAATCAACACTTTTTTCAAAGTATTAGCAATTACCCTTGGTCACAGGTCTTGCTGCATCTGCTCCAGGGCTCTGTAAAAAATGAATGCTCTGTGCAGGAAGATGCAAGACAAGGCTCAATTTCCGAAGGTTTGCGGTCTTTACAAAGCCCGTCTTGAACAATTCTGTTAGCGTTGTTATCGAGACATCTAACTCTTCTTGCTTTAATGCCAATGCCACAGGTTGCCGTGCATGCACTCCACGAACCCAGCCTCCAGGAGTATCTACAAAGGAACAAAACCAAGCGAAGGGTTTATCTAAGCAATTGATCACCAGTCATTTCAATTCAATGAGCGATGCTAAATGTTTGTTGGAAGTCATGGCACCACGTATCCTATTGCTCAACTACAGAACAGAGAAAGACGACAAAATAGAGAGAGAGAGAGAGAGAGAGAGAGAGAGAGAGAGAGAGAGAGAGAGAGAGAGAGAGAGAGAGAGAGAGAGAGAGAGAGAGAGAGAGAGAGAGAGAAATAAGAGATCACGTTTCACGCCTTGTCGGCACACGGCAAAGAAGCAACGGGAATACATACAATAGTGGATCAAAATAAAACAGCCCGTGGGGACAAAGAGTAATGAAAACAAGTGTCTACAGGGACCTTGCGGTTAAATGCGCGCCACGATATGCAGAGCAAACGAGTGAAAAAATGCAGAGAACAAAAGAATTGTCGAATGTTAATGAAAGAAAGCTCTCCTGTGACAAACTTACAGTAAATTTCCTGCGATGTTATTGCGCTTTTAATTAGGTCGTCTACCCACAAATCATAAATGATTAAAACTAACCTCTCTGTGCACTGCTGGGTATTGCATACCCTAGCAAGCTCGCCTCCAATAATATCATTGCAATATAGGTCTGTTATGATCCGTTCACTGCGCTTCTCATAGCACGTTGGTATTGATTGCTGGACTCCTGAATAGAAAATGAATGACTGTAATTTGAAAAACCAGGATCATCAACGATATTTGCATGATGTTAAATATCCGAATGTCAATTACTTCTTTCTAAGAGCAGTTTTGATCAATGCTGAGGAGAGGGGGGTCAGGGGGGTCACTGACCCGGGGGCCCTTGGCTATAGGGGCCCACAAATAAAAACTCAATTAAAAAGGGATGAGAAACTTATATTTTCCGACAAAATCTAAAAAGCATTTTTATTTTCTCTGTAAAGATCAACATAATATAACGACATCAGAACTGAAAAAAATACATCTTTTGATACATTCATATATTGTTATGTTTATTTTACTTTAAATTCTTTCATATCAAAACAAAGGTAAACATAGACAACCGTGTTAATTGCCGACAAGACCAGAAGTTTTCCGATAAAATAGAAGTTTAGCTATACAGGGGGGAGGGTTTGCCCCCTCTGACCCTCTACGCCACTGCCACCAGAACAGTTTTGCCACCGTAGCATTTTTAGCAATCAAAATAGCCACCAGAGCAATTTTGGCAACCAAAATAGTCACCAGAGCAATTTTAGCAACCATCATTTCATCCATCAACCATCATAGGGGAGCATTCCCCTACCCCTTAGAAGCTTCTGCCTAAGGCATGCATCTTTCGTCTTGATCCGGGGCCCATCAATCCTCTCCGCGGCCCTGGTTTTGAAATCAATAAATGCTGACAAAAGTCTGAATGCTACATGTCTTAAACTTCTCACTATTATCAAATTCATCTCAACATATTTCAAAATCTAGTACAACAACCAGCTTAGCATTCAGAATGTAGAATATCACAACACATAACTCTACTTGTCTAACTCTATTTATTAACAGCATATCTAATAGAAGAGTAACAGCAATTATTTGTTGTTAAGGAAGAAAGTCAACAGAAGCTTCTCACCACCGCCGCAAGATTGGCTACACTTCGTCCACGACCGAACTCTGTATTCAAATTGATCATAGCCGACAGTCAAGGGCAATCTTGCAGCAATGCTAACTTCAGTCTTAAAAGCAGCGAGGAATGAGTTATTTGCGAACGGATTGTAAACCTGCCAAGAAAAAAAAGCAACTAAATATGGCTAATAACGTAGTTGCAAAACATAGCACATATGGGAATTATTTTAAAGTTTATCATTTTATGGCTTAACAGAGCCGTTCATGATTTGCAACTACATATGTGCACTGGCTGTGCCCTCCGCCCCTCATAAAATTTAATCAAAGGAACCTTACTTCAATCTCTAGCTTTGAAACGCTAATAAACATTATCCTAGTGTAAAACGGTTAATACCAAAATTTCAAGACGCAGCTGCAGTAGCCTCTAAACATAACTATCTTGCGTATTGCTCCGCATTAATCTAACAAACAAACAGATCACGTGTATTCGAAGGATGTGGAGCCGGCACTAAGCTGACTTTCGACAGCGATGCAGGCAGGCCTATATGATTATTGAAAAATGAGTACAAAGAGAGAAATACCAAAATTCGACATCCATTGTTCGAAAGTTTAGGAATGAGTATCGTTGATAAGGAGCTGGAGTTCCTGTATACAAAAATATTTTCATTCACAGTGTAGTTTCCCGTAGGCCAGTTGTAACCATCAGCGTTGAAAACATTTGTTGCATTTTGATTGTCAATGTACACGCCTAGAGAAAAAACGTGTCTTAATTTGGATCTGCAACTCAAAAAAGCTGGGAACTAGAGGCACGCAAGAAATGAGACACTTTGTGTTACCTGGAAACAGCCGAGAGTTTCTTTCCATCTTGATCTCTACATGCTCAGATCCTTCAGGAATGACGTAGACCTCAGTGAATTCTGGGTAAATATAAAATGAATAGAATAAATTTCAAATTCAAATGTTTTAAAGATTTTCAGGACATATTTATCATATGTTCTGAAGTTCTTATTGGAATACTGAAATTTTGATAAATCATCTGGTCTTAGCCAGTACATGGAGATATAAAGAGGCTATTGACATTCTAAAAAGATATTACAATGAATATTAATAATTATCATAATCACCGTTCAGTATTGACTGGAGTCAGTATAATCATCAGTTAGAAATAATATTGTAAAAAATAGTCTTACTACTGAGGGCCTTCACAGCCTTTTTGCCGTTCACTAGTTTGCAAGACTTGCCATCTCCTCCGCAGATACCACACTGGTCAAAAGTTTTGCGTGATTTGACTTTATAGTCACAGCCAACAATCTAAGAAATAAATCGAAAACCTCATTAAATAAAAAATGCTGCAAAATCTGACATTTCTGACAATTTCCCAGCATGAATGTAACTGCACACACGAGCTTCATACTCTACAAAGAGTAGAACAATTTGACAGAAGGCTAGAAAAATCAAATAGATGTGAAAATGTAATTTTCCCCAAAAAGATGTGAAAATGTAATAAAGGAACTGACATATGGTGTTAAATATATTGTAAAAAAAGAAAATTTGGGAAAAAGTTCGAAAGCAAAAGAACGAAATACCAGGCATTGGCCATCGTAGCAAACGTGAAGTGAACTATTTGCTTGGCAA